CTTCTAGGAGTTTCATTTCAATCTTACATTTGAGGTCTTTTTTTGTAAGCAGTTTTAGATACGGGCCCACTTTCATTCTTTTGCATCTGAATATCCATTTTATCCCAGTGCCATTTATTGAAGAGACTGTCCTTTCTCCATTAAGTGTTCTTGACTCCCTTGTTGACTGTGTATGCTTGGATTTAGTTCAGGGCTCTTGATTCTGTTCCACTGGTTTCTCTGTTTTTATGTGAGTACCATACTGTTTTGATGACTAGCTTTGCAGTATAGCTTGAAATCAGGAAGTGTGATGCTTCCTGCTTTGTTACTTTTTTCTAAGGATTTTTTTTTTTGGCTATTTGGGGTCTTTTGTGGTTCCCTGTAAATTTTGGGAGTGATTTTTCTACTTCTGTGAAAAATGCCTTTGACATCTTGATAGGGATGGTGTTGAATCTATAGGTGGCTTTGGGTAGTACTTAAATTTAAACCAATATTGTTCCAATTCATGAATCTGGATACCTTTCCATTCGTTTGTGTCTTTGATTTCTTTAATCAGTGTTTTGCAGTTTGACAGTGAAGATCTCTCACCTCCTTAGTTAAATTTATTCTTAAATATATTGTTTTTGATACTGTTGTAAATGGGATTGATTTTTAAAACTATCAGGAAATCCATTTTCAGTGTATAGAAACACTACCTTTTAATTTAATTTTTTGTATACTGCAACTTTACTGAATTCATTGATAAGGTCTGTTTTTCTTTTTTCATTGAGTCTTTGGGTTTTCTATATGTAAAATCATGTCATCTGCAAATGCAGACAGTTTTACTTATTTTCCAATTCAATTCTGATGCCTTTTATTTCATTTTCTTGGTTGATTTTTCTAGCTAGATCTCCCAGGATCATGTTGAGTAGGAGTGGTGAGAGTGGGCACTCTTGTTTCTGATCGTAGAGGAAAAGCTTTCAACTTTCTACTACTGAATATGATGTCACCTATAGGAAGGCTTTTTTTTTAAAAGAACCCTTTCCCCCCAAATATTTTCATTCTATTAATCTGACTTGCTGGCTTGAAAAATAATTTAAAAATACTTAGTCTTACTCTCATTCAAATCTTTAGCTCATTTTGTTTAAGATTGAGGCACTTACATCCCTTGCCTTGGATGTATTATGAGCCATGTTAAACATTAGAGACACTAATACTTCCATAATGAACAATACGGTCTCACCACTCAGCTTCAGTCATAAAATGTCACTAATACCATTCTCTGATCACATCTGCCTCCCTCAACACCCAGAGGTAAAGCAGTTGTGAATTTGATGTTATCTTTTCTTGGGTTTGTTTTTCATAGTTAGTAATTTTTTTTTTCTTGATACTACAGAAGTAGTTGGTGGACTCCACTAGTGTACTTCAAATAAGCCTACCCAACAGAGTAAGGCGTTGTTGGCAGTTTGGTGATTAAAATGTATTTGTGCACATAGATACAAGCTGACAGAAACATGGCTCTATTTTTAACCTTGAAGTTATTGTATGCATTGATTTCCAGAGGTTAATTCTACACAAAGGATATTTATAGTTTTATTGGTTACTGTGAACAATTTGAAAATCCAAATATTCTATTCAGAAATATAGAAATATGGAGGTATATCAAGGATATTTGTAGCTGACTGGTTATGAGAACAACTTAAAAATAATCTAAATCTTTCATTAATAGGGGACTGGTTAAATAAAATGTAGCGTGTTCATACTGTGAGGCAGCTCAGGGAGTGAGATTCATACACACGCACATCTCCTGGTGTGGGTGTTGGCATTAGACTTTTCCATTACATCTGCGAGGATTACTGTTTTCAGCACAGAACGGTAAAAGGACTTCTGGGTAACAGAATTGATCCTAGTTATCGTCATCAAACTAATGCTGCTGTTTGTGGCTCTCTCGTGCTTTAACTTGTTGAAGATTTTCATCTTGTTGGAATGTTTTGTATTTCATGCAATCCATGGATCATATGGTGGTGCTATGACAGTTTTAGTTATTGGTGATTGCCAAAACAGGGTTTCAGCCTTAATCTCTTGTTTGGAGTTAAGTGTTCTAGTAGTTGAACTAAATTTCATTTCAAAAAGATCGCATATTCCAGCAAAGTCAGGAAGTCCCCTCTCTAGCATACCAGGCACAGGAACATTGAAGAAGACAGCTCAAGTCTCAAGTCTATTAGGAAGGCTGACAAGTGACCGATTGCTTATATAGGGTGGGACAACTGGGAAGGCAAAGCTGGGGCTTTGGAGTCAGTGTTCGAGGCCAGGATGTGTGTCATCGCTGAAAGTGAGAGCCGGTAGAGCGAGGTTGCTGGCTGACGCTCAGACTGACATGAGGCTGCTTGTTTTCAGTTCCCACAGGCAAAAACTTCCGGCAGCAACCATGACGTAGTATGTGAGGTACCTCATAGGCACTGAGCTTGTACCCGAGAAGGTAATACCTGAGGCTTCAAGAGTTAGAGAGGTATTTAGCTTGATGCAAAAGCAGAAGTTGGAAGTGAGCAGTAAATACTAGAGCTTGCTCCTGTGTTCTACAAGTGGTTCAGTATGGCTGGAACACCCGGGCTGAGGGGTGAATGGTTAAGTGCTGAGTCTCAAATGGTCAGAGGCCAGGTTTCACAGGGCTTTGTGTGATTGGATGTTCCCAGTGACCAGGCCCAGAGTGGTTGGGTGGGGGCGGCTAGCACTAGCTCCCTAATCTTTCACGCCTCTCCAAGCACCGAGCTGCTTTGGCTATGTACATGTGGCTGCCAGGTATATCTGCCTATTTTCCAAAATCCTTACATACATCTTACTTACATCTGACTTAAATCTGCCCTTCCCTGACTGCCCTTTCTAAAACCTTTACTTACAAGGAAATCCTGGAGCTGCCTTCATTGCTCAAAACTAAAAAATTCCAACTAGTGCCATGGATTGTGTGGTACCGATTCACCACTAATGGGATGAACTTTGTGTTAGAAGGGGAATCTGAGCTTGGTTGTGAAATTCTAAAATTTCTACTGTTTGGCTGAGGCCCTGGCATTTATAGAGTGCCGCTTTCATAGCTGTCATCACCCTACAGATAATGTCACAGAGGATGGCACCAGTGAAAAGATGGCCCAGCTCTGAGATGATTCAGGAATGAGACTCAAACCATGGATGACAGAGCCTGCACATTTTTAACCATTCTGTTCAGCCTGCCTCTTTCTTTTATTTGCCCAGTGACCTTCTGATTGGTCACAGGTAAAGAGTCAATGATTGAAGATGCCTTAGTCTGCTGGACCTGTCTGCTTTTACTGTGCAAAGGGCCAAGGAGTTTAATGAGGCCATGGAGGTGTAGAGTCACCTGTTACAGGGATGCCTGACTGGTATTGGACATTGTATAACAGGGATATGAATTACCTTTTGAGTCTTTTAAGGTTTTAAACCCCTGTGGTAAAACAGAGTATGAGCTTTAGAGCCAGAGTTGGGGTGAAATCCCCCTCCTCCCTCCCATTTCTGGGGGATTTGTCATTGACCAAGTAACTTAAAACTCAAGTTTTTTCATCTTTACTGTGGGGTAATCATGTCTAATAGGGTTGTTCTGGGGAATAAGCAAAATAATACATATAAAGCATTTAGAGTAATGGCTGGGTACTTACTAGATGATCAGGCAATTAATGGTTTTTCCCTCTCCCCCCACTCATTCTTACTGATGGCTTCCTCATCTTAACTGAAAGGCCCCTGTTATATGTTACGGATCACATGGAATTTTTTTGGTCCCTCCCAGTTTCCAGTATACTGCCCCGTTCATTCTGTGGACATGTTTGTCAAGTGATAGAACCTCATTTCTAGTTTGGAAAATACAGTGGTGGTAACTGCCAAGTCTTCCTTTACCCTCTGGTTCATTCATGCCTATGTCTTAACCCCTTGGTTGCTAATAAGCTCAAGGACCTGTCAGTTAGTGTTACTCTAGGTGTTGGGCTGCTACTAGCCTACCCTCCTCTGATCTCTCTCCTAAACGAAAAGGTAGTTTTTAAGCAGAAGAATGAACTGTCTACCTCTTTCTGTAGAGTCCATCAAGTTTAGGTTTTTTCTCTTTAAAGTATCTTCTCTCTTAACCATCATGCTCCAGAATTGCCTTTTCACTATTTGAAATTGGGTGGGTGTATTGCCCTGGGCTCCCAGGGTGGATTAGCTTCCTGTAGCTGCCTGTTGTTTCTGTTTTGTGGTTCCTGCTGTGTCTGCCTACTTGGGTTGCTTTTCTCTGAGGGGTGTTTGGAATGAGGAAGGGACCAGGGATATGTGGAATAACAGTCTTTATTATTGGCATTAATATTGAAATCAGAATGTACTTTTTGTTTACTTTTTTCTGCTAAGTCTACTGGGTTTGGGACTCACTGCATGAGATTCCAAGGCAAGACCTCTGGTTTGGGTGAATGTGTATATGTTTTTATATTAGCTCCCAGACGTCTAATTTGTACCTGTTGTTGAGAACCTGTGATTGGATAATTGCAGCCAGCTTGTTCTTACTCTCTGGATAACTCTGCCTTGGTTTTGTTTTGTTCTGTGTTTGTTTTGTTTGTTTTGCTTTGTTTTTGTTATTGTCTTGAGAGAGGGACTGATACTGAACAAATGAGAACTTAACTGTATCTAGACTCATATCGCCTGGTTGGTTTAAAATCCTACCTGTGTCATCTTGGGAGAGTTAGTTAACTGCTTTTGAGCTTCAGTTTATCTCATTTGAATGAAGGAGAAAATAATACCCTCCTCCTTTTTTTTTTTTGTAAAAGAGCTAATCTATATAAAGTAGCAAGTTATTGGCATCATACACACTCAGGAAACAGTAGCTATTAGGGATGTTGAGAATGATAATAGGATGTCATTTGAAATACAAGAATATAAAATAGAAATAAGATAAAATAAGAATTGAAAGTTTTGATCTTCCATTCTCATTTTACCACTAGGATTTATTTTTAAATAGATTTATTTATGTGACAGGTCTTAAATCTTTTCACTTTTCTTTTTTTTTAATTAAGTCGTTCAGCATCTGAAGAAGCTTCGGGTTCAGACTCAGGCAGCCAGTCGGAGAGTGAACAGGGCAGTGATCCAGGAAGTGGACATGGCAGCGAGTCAAATAGCAGTTCTGAATCTTCAGAGAGTCAGTCTGAATCTGAAAGTGAATCAGCAGGTTCCAAATCCCAGCCAGTCCTTCCAGAAGCCAAAGAAAAACCAGCCTCTAAGAAGGAACGGATAGCTGATGTGAAGAAGGTATCTACCTTGCTATATAGTACAAATGTGCTGTTAGCTAGGACCACCTAATAATCCACCTTTATTTCCCAGGGAAAAGTCATTATTGCATCTTGAGAATGGGAACTACAGTCACCTTTTCTAGTTACGTACTGTCTATGAATATAAATGGGACTGCTTACTGCTGTACTAGTTGATAGAGTAGACACAGCACTCTAAAGAAAATAATTACATGAACTATCAAATTTTAGGGCAAAAAGACATTTTTATAATTTTGGTTTTTAACACTTTAAAAGGGTGGTTAAAAATTTTCTTTTGTACAATACTGAATAATACCTAAGAGAATCACCTGTGGATGACTAGAATGCAGTTGTAAAGCGAAGTGATGGATAATCACAATCTAAAAGAGAAATAACTTCTCACAGAAAAAAATTATTTGTACCTAGGCAATGTTGGTAATTTGCTTTACAGAGAGGAGTCTTCCAGCAAGGAATGCAAAAAGGCAAATTGAGTGGCATAGCATTTCCTCATTGGAGCCCAAACTTTGAGATGCATTCCTTTTGAGGAAGGATTAATGACATGGTCTAATTAAAGGAGTACAGCTGATCTTCTAAAAGTCACTGAAAATACAAAAAGATGTCCTTTTAGAAATTAAAAAATACAATGTCTTAGTGACATTTAAAACTTTATGCTAGATCAGTTTTTATTCTTCTAAGATACAAATCTACATATGTGTACTCAATTCGTAGTAGTAGGAACAATTTCAAATTACTTGCAGGTTCCACAGAATAGCTTCAATAAACCTGAAATCAAAAAATAAAACTGCTTTTAACTCTTGAGGCAGAATTGGGATTAACTGTGTCATTTCAGTTCTTCTCAGTGCAGTCATTGCTGAATGGTAAGTGACTCTTAGGAGCTGATGGGACATTGGGGAATGCTGATGGTGTGTGAGGGGTAGGAAGATGATGAACATTGTCCTTACTCATTAGCTCGTCACTGGAGAATTGACCTTCAGACACTCTGGTGGTGTTTATGCCTTGTTGCCTGCTCATTGTGTGGGTGGGCCTTCACAAGAGACAGTTCAAGTGGTAACTTACTTCAAAAAGACCCTGCACGTAGAAGTACCACTTAGAGATGATGCTGTGAATGTTGTTAAACTCAGAAAATTACCATCCAGGCTCATAGCAGGTGGCTTTGCTCCTCCATCTGCAGAGCCTAATGTCTGAACCTAGTTTCTGTGCATCTAGACCAGGTGTCCCTTCCAGAAGACCACAACACATTTTTGAATGAAATAATAATGGACAAAAATAAATCTGGAAGTAACTTTCTTCTGTATGGTGGAGATTACTTGTAGAGATTAAAGGAAACCACAGAAACCATGACTTGCATAGAGTGTTTAAAACTTTACTAAATCACGTTGACTGGGATTCACAAGTGTTAACTGTAAGACCTTACTGTATATATTTAATTTAAAAAGATAAAGGGTAACTTTAAGAAGAAAGAAGGGAAATCGTTAAAGACTGAATTTCATGGTAGAAGTACAGCTTCAGGAAGAAATGTTAAAATACACTGTTAAAGCTAAGGTGATTTCTTCCCAAAAATCAATAAAGTTAACAGATGGGTGTGTCAGCTGGTTAAAATCGGACTGTGACTTTAGTGATTATTATTCTAAAGTGAGACCTTCTGAAGAAGGCTCTTTGTTTTCTGTATGCATGTTTGTTTTGCATGGTAGCTTTTCATTGAAGAGTTGAGTTAGGTGTCATTAGCCCTCAAAAGGACAAATATGAACACAAGGTGATAGTAGGATGTACATATTATAGTGTGTACTGTAATGAAGTCACAACATGACCCTAAGTGCCTAATATTTTAAGATGATAGAACTAATTGATGTAGTGATGTTTAAATAATTTAGCCATCCCAGTGAGTAAAGATTTCATGAATACTTGTGTTGGCTGAAGTAATCTCATAGTTCTAGCAGGGGTCTGTGAAGGGGTGGGGGTGGCAGACAGTAATCCTCTGTCTCCTTCCTTTCTTGGCCCGATTTGCTGAGTGTTCCGCCTTTGCAGCCTCTTTCTCCTAGACTTCCTACCACTTGGTTATTCCTAACTCCTAGTTGGATTTGCCTTCTGAATCTGAGATTATTTTAAGGCCACTATGGATTTTTCACCTTTATAAACTGAGGATGCTAGATTACACTGGATTCCGGTATGAAAATGGTGATTCTCGGAGCGCCTTGCTTGTTTTCTTTGTAGGCCTTGTTTTTCTTCAGCTCCTGGGCTTTTTTTTTTTTAGGAGAGCAAGGTACAGGCTTTTATTTAGAAATAAAGTGAGAGGGAAGAGCTCCTGGCTCACGCCAGGAGGGGACAAGAGGCCCCGGCTTTTTTTTTTTTAATAGGCACTGTTGATAATGTCCTTTCTTGGGTTAGTGACATGTTTTTCTGGGTCATCTTTCATCAGGTTTGTCTTTCTTGGGGTCTATTTTCCACACATTTCATGAGCCTTAGGCAGTGGCTTCTCTTGCCTCACTTTCCAAATTTTTTCATGACATTAGCTGTCACTTGTGTTTTGGTGACACTCCCACATTTCTCATCTTGGCTTAAAAGCATCACTTCTTCATGTTTAACTCCTGTTAATTGTCATTTCCCTGTTGCACAATCTGTTCAAATTCATTTTGCCTATATGTGATGAATTTCACTAAAAGAACACAGTATACTTAGCGGTGGTTGTATGTGGAAGGACTGAGATTGGGGCTTAGGCTCTAATGGTTAGAGGTTGAGAAAGGAGGGGCCTTTTACACTTTTTCTATAGATGTGATGGTTTGAGTCTCTTAATAAGAAGGTATTAACATTGTGAAAAAACATTTTCCCCTCAACTAATCCCTCTAAACTTAATTTTTTTGATCATTAGTAAGGATTGTTAGGAGAAGTCAGGTGTTCAAGGCAAAGGGCTATTTGGTAGAGGATAAAATTAGGTGTGCTAGTGAAAGGGGGGCAGTGGTTCTCATTCTGAGGACTTCTACCTAATTTTAGAAGTACCTAATTTGTGTTATCTGGCATGTTACACATCCTGAGGAATTTAAGGAAATACACAAATGCTCTGATTCTTATTTTGTTAGACTTGGTGGGGCTCTGCTTGTTTTTTTTTGTTTCCAGATAAGATAGGTCAGTGTGTAGTCAAAGCTGAAACTGAGAGCTTCTGTGACTTAAAATTCATCAGCAAATACTTTGTCTTTAGTGGAAGCAGTTGTTCTCTTCCCTTGGCTTCCTGTTAACTGTATGTTTCTATTTTGGTAATGAGTAAGCAGTAGAGTTGAATAGCCATTTAGTAATGAGGAGACATTATTAAACTTTAACGTGTTCTAGGATAAAATGCCTTATCTTTTTAAAGATGGTACTTCATTGTCTCATAAATAAAATTAATAAGAAAAGCCTTTTGATACTTGAATTTTCTCTAATAGAAATACATATTTCAGTAATGAAAATAGTAAATGGGGGTCACAAAAGAAAAATTCATGCATGGTCTATTAATTTTACAGATGTGGGAAGAATATCCTGATGTTTATGGGGTTAGACGGTCAAACCGAAGCAGACAGGAGCCATCACGATTTAATATTAAGGAGGAGGTAAGAAAATAAAATGCTTTAAGGGGATACATTTAAACTCCTTTTTATCTTACCTCATCCTTTTGGTCTTTAGCATGTTACTACCTTTAACAAGACTGAACTTCAGGCATGGGAATTAAGTGACTCTAATCTGAGCTTTCTAACCTAGTATGGCAAGAAGAGCAATATGTGGTTTTAAAAAAAGAAACCTACCAGAAAGATCATTTAATATTGAGTGTTTTTTAGTGGGGTAATATAATATGAAACAGAACTAGGCTTATATTTCTGTTTTCTAATTTTTCTGTTATGTTTCTCAGTGAAGATGATTATAGCAAAAAGTTTACTTTTAAAATACCAAGTTTCTAAATGTCCCGGATTTTATTAAATGAGTAACTTGCTTGGTAAACAAATACAACATTGGAAGTAGTTTCAGATTTATTTCTGAGAAAGGGAAGTTTGTTTAACTTATGTGATATATTTTAATTTACCTAATTTCTTTAAATGTGGTTTCCTACCTCATTTTTTAGTGTGTAGTATAAAATGTGTCACACATATTTACTCTCTGGTCTTATTGTAAGATTCAATAGATTGGACTTTTTAAAATTTGTGTCATCTACCAGGGTCTGTTGTTTCTATAGAACCAGACATTTCCCACTTTTCTCATATTGTGTGATATTTCTGTGGATTCTTACCTCTAGATTAGGATTATTGACTATATTCTGAATAGATTAGTTTTAGTAAATGTAGTTTTAAAATCTTATTAACCGTAACATCCACATTGCATTCATGTGTTTTGAGTGATCTCTGAGCTGGTTTACCTTAGCGTTCTTTTTCCGTGTGTCTAAGATCAGTTTACTTACTGAGCCATGTTTGTTAGAACCGATCACATAGTTGTATAAGTCCTCCTCTTTTCGTTACATACTCCATAGGGCACAAGGCTGATTACCAGCAATAGGACTAGTTTGCCATTTTGTGGAAAAGAGCTGTTCAGATGTCTGATACTGACTTTCCTTGGCTTAGTGCTGCTAGCAGAGCGCTGTTGGCTCATGATTAAGCTGTTTAATGAGTCTGAAATGAAATAGATCAGATGTCACCACCTGTAATGGCACACACTAACTGTTGTGGCATTTTCATATGATAATCTAAATCTGCAGCGTTCAGTATGGTCACCACTAAACATGTGGCTTTTACAATTTGTATTAATTAAAATTAAGTAAAATGCAGAGTCCCATTCCTTAGTCCCAGCAGCCACATTTCAGGGTTCAGTAGTCACTTCTGGCTGCCAGCTACTGTGTTGGACATTGCAGATATAGAACATTTCCATCACAAAATTTTATTGGACTGCTCTCTTCTAGAAGTCAAGATGAGAGAAATATTTCCTGACATGAGTGATAACTCAATAATAACATATAGTAATAATGAAAAAATATGTTTTCAAAGCAAAAGAAGAGTGAGCACCAACAAATGTTTAGTGAGGAGCAAATGCTTAGGTTTCTTTCTGTCTAAAAGCTCAATTGAATAATGTTACACTGAGTAGATTGTTGAACCAAGGGGGTAGTGTCCCTAAGAACTGTGAATTAAAGTCTGTAATCATTTTTCCCCCCTCATACACTGAAGGCAAGTAGCGGGTCTGAGAGTGGGAGTCCAAAAAGAAGAGGCCAGAGGCAGCTGAAAAAACAGTAAGTCTTTCATGGGGGAAATGACTTATTCTCGTAGTTTGGAATGTGTCGACATTTCTGGAACTGCCTTCATTATGCCGTAGTCTACCCCAGTCCCCATAGCCTGCTTTGGTCTAATTATCTTGGGTCACTGACAGCTGAAGCCCAGGATTCTCCATCTTACACATGTGAGTGTTCCACATGTGCTCGGGCTACTTCTTGGGGCAAACCCTAGCTTAGATCAAGTGAGCCCAGTTAGCCCAGTTAAATGTACACACATACCAAATATAGAGATAGGTATTTGGTATTCTAGTTTGCAAGGAACAAATTTATATGTGCTATTTTTTAATTTGTTTTTTGTGATGGCATGGCAAGAGTATATTGGTTGGGCATGTATTTTAATATGAAATTTCACTTTATCATTTCCATATAATTTTATTATTATAATTCACAAGCCAGGAAATTAATTCTTGGGCTTAATGTGAAGTTCCTTTATAACTTCTTTTTTGGTGGGGTATAGATTCCTTTGACAATCTGAATTCTGTAGCCTGTCTCCTCAGGCAGTGTGCTGTGCACACAGATTCACAGCATTCTCATGGTAAATAATTTTTCATGACCCCCAGTAAGAGCCCCAATTATATAGTCTATTCTCAAATATTAGTATTCTTTAATGAGTATTTGGACTAAGTCACAGTAATTTGAGTTTTTAAACCCATTTCTTCATCTCCAAAATAGAGTATTAGCTTATTCTGCCAAACTAACAGTTTTTGGAAATTAAGCTTAGTCAAATATTTAATAATGTCTTGCCTGTAGCAAATATAAAAGTCATTTGTTTTTTAAATATTTGTTTGGAGTCGGAGCAGTAATAACTGTAGGCAAGTTTGCACTTCTTGGCACCTTAGAAAACTTTTCTTCTGCTTCAGTTCCATGGTCTTCTTGGGAGACTTTTCTCAGCTTACCAGTCTAATCGCCTTTTGGGGTTTTGGGAAGTCCAGGCATGCATTCTTTCTCCCATCACCTGGCTTTTTGACTGGAATCTAAATGGGGCCATGTTTGGAAACTTGAGCTTCCCATTTTAGTGGCCTCATGTGGGTGTGTAGAAGCCTGCATTTGTTCAGCCATTCTGTACTGTATCACACTTAATCCTTTGATTGATTCCTATACTCATTTTCCCTTTCCTGTTGATCCTAAGAGCTCTCCAAAGTGGGCCGTGCTCAGAGGCCTACCTGGACCTTCATTCCCCTGAGTAGAACTTGTTAGTTCTTGAAGGCTGGTGTGTGTGTTGTCTTCTGTAATGCCGCTTCCCTACCCCAGGGCTTTTCCTAGGAACTTACCTGGAGCTAAGGTAATTCCCTAATGCTTGTTTGGGCACTGGGCTAGCTTCACTTCCTGCTATCCTTTGGGCAGATGGTTAGTATGGGGGCCTAGGAGGAACTCTTCTCCTGAGTCAATTTAATTAGTAACATTAATTAGGGGAAAGCCTACAGCTGCTATGACTCAAGTTGCAAGGCACAGCACTATAAAGGGAGCCCTCTGATCTGAGCAAGTGTAATAACCTGGTGCCTGTGCACATGAATTTCGGAATTGAGAGAGCTCTCAAAGGGAGTGGAAATTTTGAAATATTAGTACAGGGAAATGCTTTTCTGAAATTGCAGATTGTACCACAGATTTCAGAGGTTTTTAAAAGGAGCTATTTTTTTAAACTTAAATTTTTTAACTGATTTCAAACTTTTAGAGAAGTTTTAAGAATGAAAGTAGTACAAAGAATGCCTGTGGGGTCTTTCCAGATTCAGCATTGTTTACCATTTTACCCCATTTCCTTTATCATTGTGGGTGCTTTTTATATATTTATGTATGCACACACATATTTTTCTGAACTATTTAATACTAAGGTTCATACATCATGGCCATTTACTCCTAAATACTGTTAGAATATTCTCTTTCATAAGCCCAGCACAGGATTAACATAAATAGATTTAACACTGACAAAATGCTTTTGTCTAATTAATACTCCCATTTTGTCAAATGACTTAATAATGTCTTTAATAAACATTTTCTATCTCTACTACAGGATTTGGTCTTAGGTTAGAGATTATTTGTCAGGGTTCTTTTACAGCAGTTAGACAGCCTTTCTTTGCTTTTATGACATTGATATTTTTGAAGAACAGTCTTACAAGAGACTAATGTCCTAGAGTCATAATGTGAATTAGCATTTTAAAGGCTTAGAAGTTACACTGCACAGTGTTGCTGAACAATATTGAAAACTAGTTGGCAGTGTTGAAAATTGAGAGATGGTGCATAAGAATCTAGATTTCTAGCTTCTTTTGAGAAAAGTCTTCTAATCCTGGCCCACATTAACAGTGCTCAGTGGTCTTTATAATCTTTGGTTGGGCTGTGAATTCTCTTGGCCACAATTACAATTCTTAACCTGACTAGTGGGTATTTGAGATTGTAACCCCTGACTAAAAGTCATACTAAGAAATAAAATTTTGAGTTCTATTTAATCCACTCATGCTGTTGTGATCATTGTTCCCTTTTTCATGCAAAACCTATCATGTTACTTAAATTTGCAAAATATTGTATAGGATTTCTTCTGAGTCATGGCCTCGGTAGTCCTTTAAACCATCCTGTAATGGTTCCAGAACCCTTAATCCCAACTGGGATTAAAAAAAATGTTACAGTTGAAGTTTTTTCTCTTGGGATCATAGTTGTTTCTAACTTTCTCTTTCTTTGAATTGGATGTCTGTCACAAACCTGTGACACAGTGGAAGAGAATCCCTGATAGCCCCAGATTTCCCTTCATTGGAATTTGCCCTATTTTGGAAAAATCTACTGAAAATCGGTAAAGTTAAAATAACTGCCTTCTATTTCCTGATCTTCCTTGTAACTTGGAGGAGAAAGGCATTCTCTTCTTTGGGCTCTAAGAGACAGTTAATAGGAAGCCTCAGCAGTTTTTGGCCGGACTGTTTGACTTAAAATGGCTTTTGTTCATTACCTTCTTTATAGTTGTTTAGGTTTGATTTGAGTCTGTGAGAATTTGTGTCCTGCCAACCACATTTTCCCAGTAAAGGAAGAAAACTATACCCAGTTAACTTGCATTCTGACTTTTTCATGTCTGTTTATATTGTGGTAAGGCCTCAGTGGCCAGCCGCTGGCATTTTTCTCCCCAGTTCCCCAACATTTTGGCAAAAATTCCATTGATTCCCTCTTAGGAAATCCCATTAATGCCCTCTTAGAGCTAAATCTGGCAAGTCAAGTCTCCTCTGACATTTGAAAAATGTTTTAAGTATGATCCTGTATTTTAGTTGTCTCTTTATTGTAGCTTTACTTACAGTGTTGGCTTAGTGAGGGAGTTGTTCTCAAAATTTGCATTATAATAAGGGGACAGTAATCTAGGAGTAGACAGCAGTTTCACATGTCTCGGAGCCCTATACGTCGGCCAGGGCTGGCAAGTAGTCTTTGTGGAACTCATCACTCTTTTCACCTCACCCCTTAGGTAAAGTAACTTAGTATTGCTGAACCTAACTTACCTTGTTTTCCTCTGTTCTTGAAAATTAAAGTTTAAAATAATTCAGCCAATTATAAATACACATACAAACTCAGGTCTTTTAAATGTCTGGTTGTTCAGATAGTCTGAGACTGTGTAAGCCTGGCTTTACTTTTTCCTGATAGTTCGGTCTTCAGTGAGTCATGGTTGAGAGTAGCAGGGCTGGGGTGACATAGCCAGACAACTTGTTTTCACTGGGCTTTAAGTGTCCTTCTCTCAGAGGAAGCCTTTGGAATAATAGTTGATAGTTACTAAGTTTTTGAATATCCTCGTTTTGGAAGAGTCTAAGTCCTCCTGGCCTCAACATCGTTCTCTCAGTGTTTACTGCCATTTTAGTCTGCTGCAGTTGTGGAAGTAGACCTCATTAGAGGCCCTGATTTAGATTTTTAGTTCTTGGAGTTACATAATTTACAACTAAGACTTGATTGGATCTTTCTCATCTCATCTACTCTCCCTTAGGTCTTAATTGTTATATTCTTTCAAGTTTATTGTGAAACCACTTCTTCAGTCTATCTATGTGAATCCCTTCCAAAAGGTAAACTGTTCTGGACTTGGTCCAAGGGAGACTGCAGCCTCATGTGTCCATCTCCCGGTTGGTGGAGATACCTCCCTTTCTTCCTTTCTGGCTATCACCTTCTGCTGTTTGGATTCTATAGCAGACATTTATTATACTAGGTTTTGGGGAAGGAAAATAAGACAGGTACTCAGTATATAGTTAGAAATAAGGAGGTCTTTGTTTCAAAGACAGACTGAAGGATATCAGGTAGTAGTAATAGGCCTTAGTCTGCTTCCAAAAGCACCCTACCCATCTGACTGTTGTTATGGCTCATTCTTTAATTATTTTTTATTTAAGAAAGGAGTATCTCCATTTGCCTGCCTTGGTGTTATACTCTGGTACAAAGAAGAACAAAAACGGCTCTGCCTACAAGGAGTTGCCTACTATTAGGGAAATGGATACAAAACAGTGTCAGTAGAACTTGAGTAATGTACATAAAAGTACTCCACTGCCTTTCGTGGAAGACTTGAAATTTTTTTCCTAAAGTCACCATTAATTCAGGTGTAGGGTGACTCCTGTTAGAAAGGTTCTCAGGAATCTGCAGAGTAGCCATCTTCTTGCAACAAGTTTCCACTATTACTTTGAGCTATACTCCCATGAAGAATATTGATTTGACTTTGCAGTTCTGCAACAGTTGTCATTAGGGTAACCCCTTTCCTATACACCAGCCTAGAGGCACAGTGGTAATTATTTTACTTACAGAGAAAACCCCAGGTACTTGCCTGTAATTTTTTTCCCCCTAGATACTATGTCCAGTAGTTATTATATGTTACCTGCAGGTGGGAAATGAACTCTAATACCTTGTTTGGTTTTCAAGTAAACCTCAGAAACTGTTTTGGGATAGTAGGGTATGGCCTCTTTTAAGCCTTCTAAGATCTCAAGGAGCAAGGGGACTCCTGCCATGTCTTATAAGTATTAAAAATGACATCTTTGGCAGAACAGATTATTTAGTAGGTAGTTGGTTTATCATTAAAAAATAATTTTAGGCTGTTTCCTGAAATACATTCTAAAGATGTCAAAATAACCTACTATAGTATAGTAGTTCTCAAAGAAGTAACCAGTACCAGCACCAACTGTGCATTTGTTAAAATACAAATATTTAGCCTTACCTTAGACCTACTGAATCACGAAATGTGGCTGAGGCCCATAAATCTTTTTTAAATAAGCCCTTTAGGTAGTTTTGATCCATGCTAAATTTTGAGAACCACTGATTAAGTATAATGGCTTCAATCTGATCAGTGATAGTAGTAAGTCAAAACAATAAGGGAGATTTAACAGCTTTCCCCACCCCCAGAACAAATAGTTTAAAAACTACATCCTTACTTTCCATTTTCACTTGTTTTGTTAGCAGATATAAAAATAGGAATAGATATTTCATAGTCCAGAAAGGAACACAGCCAAAATATAAATGGAGCTAGAATAAATATATTTTAGCATAGTATCTAAAATGTATATATGTTCTGCCTTCTAATTGAATCAGATTGCATTTGGTTTTGTCAGCTTCTTTAAGCTATACATTTTGAAGAATTCTTTTAGAAAAAAATCATTTTGCTCTGCTTTTCATCACAGAGAAAAATGGAAACGAGAGGCCTCAGAAGATGAGCAGGATCAAGGCACCAGTGCAGAAAGTGAACCAGAACAAAAAAAAATGAAAGCCAGAAGACCTATCCCCAGAAGGTGCGGCGTGTGCTTGAGTACCTCTGTTTTTGGTTGAGTTTGATTTGTGTTGGAGTGAGTAGGATGATGTAGTGCTATTCTGAGAGCCTTAATTGATGGGATACAGTGTGTTGTGATTCTGGGCTTTGAATGTCTTTGGTTCACTTCTTGCCAGCCTACATGGTTAGCAAGTGAATAGATGGCTGGGATACTTACATTGTTTGTGAGTGTTTGCATGGTCTGCAGCTCGAAGTGAATCTTAACAATTTCTTACTCCCTGTCAAACTAGTTATGAGGGGTGACTGTATCCTCTTTTAAAAAAAGCTTGCTGTGATTCGGCTTGTGGGTAGGTTCTTCTTGGGAAAGCTAATTCTTAACTTTAATTCAGTGTTTCAACACTGTGTGGCTGGTTGAAAGCACACTTTACTACTTTGTTCATAAATCTAAATAACATTAAGCAGAGAATCGGATTCTACAGAGAAGACAGTGGACTGAGGTGGCAGGAAACTGATCATTTTCAATCGGGAAAGGAAGGCAGGAGGCAGAGAGGCTCCAGGAAAATTTACCTCCTTGCAGTACTGCTTAGGATGGCATTGGCAAGCTGTTGCCTTCAGGCCTAATCCCACTCACCACCTATTCCTGTAGGTCTGCGAGCTAATAAGTGTAGCTTCTATAGATGCACATTTATAGTTTGATGATAAAGAGCACTAAATTGGAACCTCCGTTGGGTGAAATGTTATCCCTTCAAAAAGAATTCTGCTCTTCTTATTAGTAGATATGTATCACAAAAAATGTACTCAATGATTATTTTACATTTTGTCAAAAAATTTGAAAAAATTTATTTCCTCTCCTATTATAAGTACCTATGTAGTGACCTCAGTTTTGCCTGTCATCTGGGAAAGCCAAAAATATTTACACTCTAGCCATTTATAGCAAACATTTGCTTATCCTTGGCTTGGGACATTGTACCTTCCCTTAACCCTGAAACCAAGTAGGGAAATTCATCAGCCAAGTTTTGTCTCCTTTCATCCGAGTTTAAGCTCTGAGGACTGAAATGCCACTCTAGTTCTGTCTTCTGGATTTTGTCCATTATTTGTTGAATCCCTGATCATCTGTCTGTGTAGCATTGGTTATTGTACGTTGGAGAGAAGGAAACAGTCAGGCATGATCTTGAATTTCTGTCTCCTCCTTTCACCGTTGTACGGAGGAATGGTCGTGTATTCGGGCCTTCCCTTTCGAGTGCTCCAAGAGTTTGGCGCTCGGTCCTACATTTGCAAGGGAGTCGCCGGATTTGCACAGGGAGGGGCTGTCTTCTCAGTCTGTTCTGCTGGTTTATGGTGAGCCATGTCTCTCAGGTAGTTTTCCAGGTATATTTTATGCACATATAGGAGAAATATATATGTAGTTATTTCTTGTCTTTTACTCCCTTTTTACAGATAGCATTCTGAGCATTTTCTTCTGCACTTTTCTTTCATCATTTTGGAAATCTTTTCTTATGAGTACATGGAAAGCTCTCAGTTTTTATGGTTACATAGTATTCTGTTTATTGAGTTGGTACCCGGTTGATGAATATTCAGGTTTTTAATATTTTGTTATTTTCTTTTTTGCCTACATTGGTGTATATTAAGGTCAATTCCCAGAAATAAAATTATTATATTTGTAAGTTGGATAGAAATTTCCAAATTGCTCACCAAACACACATCATCAGCAACATGTTGCATGTGTATGTCAGGTGATCCTGAGGAACAGTTGAGAACAGTTGCCTCAGAACCCACTGTATTTTCCTGTTAATGATTGAGGATTATCAGCGTTAGAATTACTTTCATGTTGAAAATGCAGATTTCTGGTGAATTAGAATCTTAGGGAATGTGGCCTAGGAACATGCATCTCTAATGTTCCCTTCAGTAATCCTGTGTATCTCTGCTTTAGATACACAGTTACATGGATTTGAATAGACACCAAGTGATGGAGTAAAACCTTTGCCATTTTTTCTCTTCTCATCTTAGGACAGTGCCCAAACCTCGTGTTAAAAAACAACCTAAGACTCAGCGTGGAAAGAGAAAAAAGCAAGATTCTTCTGATGATGATGATGAAGATGATGAAGCTCCCAAAAGACAAACTCGTCGTAGGGCAGCTAAAAACGTTAGGTAGGTTTCACCTCAGAAGCTCCGTGTGTGAAGGTGTTAGTGTCATTGGTTACAGCTTGGTTCTGATAAGTCAGGAATGTGCATTTGACTGTCAGAAATGATCACCTGTGTCTTGAGGTTGTGTGGAAATCTGATCAGTGTTCTGTTGAGGTGGTGTAGTGATGTTATCTTCATTTAATATCCTTTTTCAGCAAGGATGTTTGGATTGTATTCTCACTTCTGAATTACTCTTTAAATCAGAAAGATTCTTCTGAGGTTTAGCTTATGTATTGATATTTGGATATACAATAGTTTTGTGGAGCTTACTAATAGGATATGAAGCATTAATAGAAAATGAAGTAAAGTAATAGCTACGTGCAAACCTTAATATTTTACTTGATATGACTTGAAAGGCATTTAATTTTCTTTTAGAGGATATGTGGGTTTCTTTTGGTCTACTTAGAAATGGTGAAGCTGAGTCCTGGAGTTGTTAATAATCTTTCCAGTGTATCTAGTTAATAATTCCAGAGCTAGGACTAGGCTTTGAGTATGCTAATGTGTAGCATAGCACTCTGTCTTCCTACAAACTGCATTGCATACAGGATTGTGCTTTCTCCTGTGTGATGCACAAACCATTTGCTGTAAATACATGGGAGAAGTTTATATTTTAACATTACCAGGAAGTATGTTTGTTAAAGTTATCAACAGTTTGAGATTACTTAGATTTCATAGTCTTACTGGGAGACAAAATATAGGGGTGAAACATTGAATCTTAGAACTATTGCTTCTCTTTTGTTTAATGAAATAGTAGCAGTTTTTTTTCATTCATTGTGTATTTTCTTTCTTTGTAGTTGTTTCCTTGTTCACATAGTAATGATCTCATATTAAAAAATGAAAACAGGAGTGTCCTTGAAGTTTCCTATATCTTGCCTCTACAAATTACTATGGACTATTTTATCTTGAAATAGGAGTTAGCCTTCTTGCTGTTATCTATAAATATGCATTAATGCTTTAAGTAGGAAAAAACTCTGAGCCCACTTTATCTGTGGCTAATCTGTAGAACAGCATGTTGAGAGCCACAAGAGTATGGGTCCTTTTTCTGGTGATGATTTTTGGATGGCAGAGTTCAATTCTGAAAAGGTAGTTTCTTATTTATTCAACATTATTCCTCATACAGTTATAAAGAAGATGATGACTTTGAGACTGACTCAGATGACCTCATTGAAATGACTGGAGAAGGAGTTGATGAACAGCAGGATAACAGTGAAACGATTGAAAAGGTCCTGGATTCAAGGCTGGGAAAGAAAGGAGGTATGTATCTTTAGGAAGCAAATTCCATTTATAGCAAACATTTGCTTATCCTTGGCTTGGGACATTGTACCTTCCCTTAACCCTGAAACCAAGTAGGGAAATTCATCAGCCAAGTTTTGTCTCCTTTCATCCGAGTTTAAGCTCTGAGGACTGAAATGCCACTCTAGTTCTGTCTTCTGGATTTTATCCATTATTTGTTGAATCCCTGATCATCTGTCTGTGTAGCATTGGTTATTGTACGTTGGAGAGAAGGAAACAGTCAGGCATGATCTTGAATTTCTGTCTCCTCCTTTCACCGTTGTACGGAGGAATGGTCGTGTATTCGGGCCTTCCCTTTCGAGTGCTCCAAGAGTTTGGCGCTCGGTCCTACATTTGCAAGGGAGTCGCCGGATTTGCACAGGGAGGGGCTGTCTTCTCAGTCTGTTCTGCTGGTTTATGGTGAGCCATGTCTCTCAGGTAGTTTTCCAGGTATATTTTATGCACATATAGGAGAAATATATATGTAGTTATTTCTTGTCTTTTACTCCCTTTTTACAGATAGCATTCTGAGCATTTTCTTCTGCACTTTTCTTTCATCATTTTGGAAATCTTTTCTTATGAGTACATGGAAAGCTCTCAGTTTTTATGGTTACATAGTATTCTGTTTATTGAGTTGGTACCCGGTTGATGAATATTCAGGTTTTTAATATTTTGTTATTTTCTTTTTTGCCTACATTGGTGTATATTAAGGTAAATTCCCAGAAATAAAATTATTATATTTGTAAGTTGGATAGAAATTTCCAAATTGCTCACCAAACACACATCATCAGCAACATGTTGCATGTGTATGTCAGGTGATCCTGAGGAACAGTTGAGAACAGTTGCCTCAGAACCCACTATATTTTCCTGTTAATGATTGAAGATTATCAGCGTTAGAGTTACTTTCATGTTGAAAATGCAGATTTCTGGTGAATTAGAATCTTAGGGAATGTGGCCTAGGAACATGCATCTCTAATGTTCCCTTCAGTAATCCTGTGTATCTCTGCTTTAGATACACAGTTACATGGATTTGAATAGACACCAAGTGATGGAGTAAAACCTTTGCCATTTTTTCTCTTCTCATCTTAGGACAGTGCCCAAACCTCGTGTTAAAAAACAACCTAAGACTCAGCGTGGAAAGAGAAAAAAGCAAGATTCTTCTGATGATGATGATGAAGATGATGAAGCTCCCAAAAGACAAACTCGTCGTAGGGCAGCTAAAAACGTTAGGTAGGTTTCACCTCAGAAGCTCCGTGTGTGAAGGTGTTAGTGTCATTGGTTACAGCTTGGTTCTGATAAGTCAGGAATGTGCATTTGACTGTCAGAAATGATCACCTGTGTCTTGAGGTTGTGTGGAAATCTGATCAGTGTTCTGTTGAGGTGGTGTAGTGATGTTATCTTCATTTAATATCCTTTTTCAGCAAGGATGTTTGGATTGTATTCTCACTTCTGAATTACTCTTTAAATCAGAAAGATTCTTCTGAGGTTTAGCTTATGTATTGATATTTGGATATAATAGTTTTGTGGAGCTTACTAATAGGATATGAAGCATTAATAGAAAATGAAGTAAAGTAATAGCTACGTGCAAACCTTAATATTTTACTTGATATGACTTGAAAGGCATTTAATTTTCTTTTAGAGGATATGTGGGTTTCTTTTGGTCTACTTAGAAATGGTGAAGCTGAGTCCTGGAGTTGTTAATAATCTTTCCAGTGTATCTAGTTAATAATTCCAGAGCTAGGACTAGGCTTTGAGTATGCTAATGTGTAGCATAGCACTCTGTCTTCCTACAAACTGCATTGCATACAGGATTGTGCTTTCTCCTGTGTGATGCACAAACCATTTGCTGTAAATACATGGGAGAAGTTTATATTTTAACATTACCAGGAAGTATGTTTGTTAAAGTTATCAACAGTTTGAGATTACTTAGATTTCATAGTCTTACTGGGAGACAAAATATAGGGGTGAAACATTGAATCTTAGAACTATTGCTTCTCTTTTGTTTAATGAAATAGTAGCAGTTTTTTTTCATTCATTGTGTATTTTCTTTCTTTGTAGTTGTTTCCTTGTTCACATAGTAATGATCTCATATTAAAAAATGAAAACAGGAGTGTCCTTGAAGTTTCCTATATCTTGCCTCTACAAATTACTATGGACTATTTTATCTTGAAATAGGAGTTAGCCTTCTTGCTGTTATCTATAAATATGCATTAATGCTTTAAGTAGGAAAAAACTCTGAGCCCACTTTATCTGTGGCTAATCTGTAGAGCAGCATGTTGAGAGCCACAAGAGTATGGGTCCTTATTCTGGTGATGATTTTTGGATGGCAGAGTTCAATTCTGAAAAGGTAGTTTCTTATTTATTCAACATTATTCCTCATACAGTTATAAAGAAGATGATGACTTTGAGACCGACTCAGATGACCTCATTGAAATGACTGGAGAAGGAGTTGATGAACAGCAGGATAACAGTGAAACGATTGAAAAGGTCCTGGATTCAAGGCTGGGAAAGAAAGGAGGTATGTATCTTTAGGAAGCAAATTACTATTTATATCTGTTCAGTAAGGCCCAAATTTTATGTATTTCAACTCTGAAACGGTGAATTTCAGTCCATGCCCATATTTGTTGTGAAGTATGGAAGTCTTTCTGACGCATCTTCATGCTTCAGAGCTGAGAATTTAGGGATGTGTCCAGTATGTCTTTGAGATCTTAAAATTCCGCTAGTAGAGATGTGTCATTATCTTAGAGGCTGTGATATAGAGATTCTTGCTATTAACATTAGGCAAATCTACTTTTAGTTTGTTGTTTCTGTTTCTCTTTGTGAAAAACATCAAACTGGTTAAGTACATATGCGGAAAATAGTGAAGATTAACTTTTAAGTCCACATTGAGATACCTCATAACTCAGTAAGTAACCTTCCCATGTAGGAAATAGCAAAACAATACTTCCGTCCTTTTTCTTTCTCTTTTTTTTTTTCACCCGGCCTCACTTGAGGTTAAGAGAATTAATAGGGCACTTTGGATGGATGGGTAATTGTTGGGGAGATCTTTATTTTCTTACCTTATTCTTCGTATTCCTGGAGAGAGGGATTTGTTTGCTGTTAGTAGGGACCAAAACAAAAGGATGTCGCTGCTCCATTTTTATTGTGCTTGGACCCCAAAGTTTCTTTGATCTCACCAGCAAATTTTGGAATACATTTTAAAGTGTAAAAATAGATTTTACATTCTGAAAACATTGGAAATTATTGATCTTATTCACCCTTATTGTTTGTGAATTTCTGCTTACTTCAAGTCAAGGGATTTTGTTGGTGCTTCATCCACAAAGAGACTCTTTAGACGATTGCTCTCTCGGGTAGCTTTTAAGTGTCTGTCTGCTTTAACATGCTTTTTTAAACTTTGAATGAATTCTTTTGCAGCCACTGGAGCTTCTACTACTGTTTATGCGATCGAAGCTAATGGAGACCCTAGTGGTGGCTTTGACACTGAAAAGGATGAAGGGGAAGTCCAATACCTCATCAAGTGGAAGGGTTGGTCTTATATCCATAGCACATGGGAGAGTGAAGAGTCCTTACAGCAACAGAAAGTCAAGGGCCTAAAAAAACTAGAGAACTTCAAGAAGAAAGAGGATGAAATCAAACAATGGTACATTTTCCATCGTGGATTATAGAAATACACTGGCAGCCTGAGGGGATTCCCTTTCAGGAAAGGTTTTTAAGTAATGCATGAAAAGCACAGCTGTGTAGGCTCTCAGATATTACCGTGGTCATCTGAAGATGGAACTATTCACAATTTCATTTTATTAGAATTTTGACCTGAAGACCTGTATATTTTTGTATATGGCCACCAAGTTTGTAGAGTTTAATAATGATACCTAGCTTATTTAGCATTTCTCTTACATTATCTCTTTAATCCTCACAATAAACCCAAGAGATTTGTACTGTTGTACAAAATCTTGAAGATGGGAAGATGACGCCCAGAGCAACTGTGAAGTGGACCCAGGATTGGAATTTTGGCAGCCTAAGTCCAGAGCTAATGTTCTTAAGCACCTTGTTATTTTCCTCTTGTTTTGCTGGGGATGTGTAGATGTGAGGAGTTAATCTTCTGGAACGAACTCTCTGAGTTATGATACATTTAACAGAAATGATTAAATAACTAAATGATTAAATCCATTGTGTTTGTAGTTTGCTCACAGCTTTGATTATGTTAGGTTGCATATGGAAATGAGTGGGGCTGCAGAATACACAAACCTAAACTGACATGATGAGAGGCAGTATGTTCAACCCTGAAGACCTACCTATGAGTGTAATGTGATCAGGGTGCTTTGTGTTAGAAATAGGGATAAATAGGCTCTAATTTCCATTTTACTACTATGCAAGATAGGCTACTTCAGTAAATCACATATTTTTCCTTTGATTCAAAAACAAAAATATGTATCCCTAGGATAGGGGTGAGTTGTAAAGCAATTAGAAACTTAAAATCTTCAGAAGTACAGTAATACCTAATTTCAAGCTGCTGCTGCTGTCCTTTTGTAGTGTTTTGGTGCCAAGAATAGCTGGTTTTTCTAAAAGGCCATATTTTAATCACTCCTAAAACTCATATGAGAAAAGTCATGTTTTCTTTAAAATCTTATGACAGTTTTATTGTCCTGCTCTGTTTAGATATATGAATTTATCACATGAAATCACGTGAATTTATCACACAAAATAGTTGTTTTTAGGTTTCTTTATAAATAGGCCACATCAGATAGAATAACTGGTGTGTCTTATAAGTCTAAGATAGCCAGTGTTTTTTGAAAAGTGTATGTTTTTTTGTAAAATCTCTGGTCACATTACTAGCAGAAGAATACTTTCCAAGGGGCAGATGCAAGTAAAGACTAAGTTTCCTTTTTAGTCTTTGATTTTGCTTTACTAAGTGTGTGTATATCCCCCAAATCTGATTATAGAATTTACTTTTTCTGTTTCTGTTTGGTTCAGGTTAGGGAAGGTTTCTCCCGAAGATGTGGAATATTTCAACTGCCAACAAGAGCTGGCCTCAGAGTTGAACAAACAGTATCAGATAGTAGAAAGAGTCATAGGTGAGTGCAAGGGCGCTTGAGCAGTTTTCGAATTCCAGGAGTAATGGCTTTTGCTCTTGCGAATAATGTGAATTTAAAATGCATTTTGTGGGATTACGTCTTGAGAATAGACAGCTGCATAGATTTATCTTGAAGGAAGAGCTAACAAGATATGTTGGTAAATTTGCTTGTGGGGGCTGAAAGAAGTGTCAAGGTGATGTTAAGATTTTTGACTTGAATAAATAGGGGATAGATGTACCATTTACTGAAGTGGAAGGGAACAGCTGGTTTTTAGAATGGAAATCAAGGGCTTATGTTGATATTTGTGTTTGGTATACTTCGTAGTCATCTAAGTGGAAAGTACTATAAAGGCTGTAGCATGGGTGAACCTGGAATTTAGAACTCTGAGCTAGAGATTTAAACTTGGGAATTTATCAGTAAGTAGATAGTTTTTAAAGCCTCAGATTTAATGAGATATCAGAAATAGTATACCTGTTTAGAACAGGAAATGTGAGAGCATTCGAGCTTTTGGAAGTCAGTCAGAAACCAACAAAGGAGACAGAAAACTGCCAGTGAGACAGGAGGAGAGCCACGGGAGAAGGACTGGGAGCCAAGGGATTCCCGAGGAGGGAGCACTGCCGGTCACGTGGCCGGGGCTGAGGGCTGACTCTTGAATTTGGCAATAGTTAGGGTGCTAGTGAAATGGATCCATGGATTGATGGGGAATGCAGGCCTGATTGGGGTGGTTTCAGGAGAGAATGAGGTGGAGAAGTGAGGAAAAACAACTCTCCTGGGGAGTTCTGTTGTAAAGAGGAACAGAGAAATGGGGTATTAGCTACGCAGGACCATGAGAACACGACCGTTTTTTTTAATCTTTTTGTAAAGATGTAAGATGGTAGAGTATTTGTGTATGTATTCTTATTCATAAAGCCTAAAATAAAATGTCACCCTTTTCTTGATCATAGTGATAACTTTTATGTCTTATTTTCCCATTGTTTAGCTGTGAAGACAAGCAAATCTACACTGGGTCAAACAGATTTTCCAGGTAAGCAAGAGGTCTTGTTTATAAATGTTGTTTAGCATTTAAGAGCAGTCATGTTTTGCAGAGTATTTATAGTTTTGCCACATGGCATTTCCTTGGTTATATGTAAAAAAGAATGAGTCTGTTTTACAGTGTAAAACCTTTAATTGACAGTTTCTGATCCATACATTTTTATGTATGAAATAGCTCACAGTCGGAAGCCCACACCTTCAAATGAACCTGAGTATCTATGCAAATGGATGGGTCTGCCCTATTCAGAGTGCAGCTGGGAAGATGAAGCCTTGATCGGAAAGAAATTCCAGAGCTGCATTGACAGCTTCCATAGTCGGAACAACTCAAAAACCATCCCAACAAGAGAATGCAAGGTATGGGAATTGCAATTGCTGTGCTGGCTTTTAGTTTTTCAGGGGGAAGATATATTGATACAAAAGGTTGATTATTGGAAAGAAAAAATGTTACAAAGTAAATGATATTACTATTTTGAAATGAAAGAAGATGACTCAACCTTGACATCAAAGAAAAATAATTACAAGGAAAGAATAAGTTGTATAATGGCTTTACTGACTAATTCAGTATTACAATTTACAGAATTAGGTATATCTAATTATAGAGATAATGTAGAGAGTATATGAAAGAACTTAAGCACTTCTATTCAAAGAGAAGTGACAAGAAAAGGGAACATCTCCTCCGCATTCCAAGTTAGAAACTGTGTACGTGTGTGTGTGTGTGTGTGTGTGTGTGTATGCTTTTTTATTTGCTAGATTGGTTGTACAAATGCTTTTCCTTTGGAATTCATTCCAGGTTTAAACTGGAGTGCTTGGGTTCTCAGTCATAAAAGTATACATAAGACATGGGCTCTGTCTCTGAAAAGTGAACATTCAAGTTCAGGGCAGCAAACCTCTATCTGTGAAAAGCAGTGTGTAATTAAAGGCCAGAGAGTGTGATGAAGAATATTAGAAAAGGACACAGAGGAAGAAGTTAATGAGCTCCAGTAATCAGTGAAGGGGTTTTAAAAAGGAAGTGTGGTATGTGAACTGCCCTGGTTCTTGAAGAATGGATCAGTGCTGGATAGACAGATATAAGGAGGCCCAGGTTGTTGCCCTTCCATGACAGATACCAAGAGAAGGATGTTCTTACAGTGCGATGGGGGGACTACCAGCCCTTGGGGTTGGCAGAGAGGAGGCGATGTCGGCCATTGCATTTAGGTCCAAGTGTGAATGTCTTGAATACCTTGAGGGATATTTTGACTTTGTCTTATGAGTACTGACATGCCTGTCCTAATGAGGAGAGCAGCAGGGTGGAGACAGTATTTTAGTTAAAAAGCCTCATCTAACGGGACTGTGTAGGAGACTCTTAAGCTTTACTAAAGCCAGAAAGTTCAGCCAGGAAGATGTCCTACAAGTCCATGAGGGAAGAATTAGTGTGAGGACAAGGGAAGTGTAGTGGGGGGCTAACCAATGGGAGAAGTGTTCTGGGGGACACTTGGCAGAAATGGACAGCTGGTTTTTGGTGGGTGAGAGGGTGGAGTCAGATTCCATTTACTTTGGGGTGCTCACAGAGGAGAGCTGAAACTATCGTTAATTACCTTATCAAATACACTAATATTAATAGGATGATACTTCTCATAGTAGGGTGCTAATTTCAGAGAATGCTAATTTCAGAGAAATGCTTCCTGAGAAAAAGACTTTCTGGCCAAATAACTTTGGGAAACATTCCTGGATTAATTTCTCCTGTAAGTTCGCCATATACACAGGTGTGTTAGACTTTGAAAAGTCATGAGTAATGAAATACATGTAACTTTTAAATCCATTGTTTCCCAAACTGATTTGGCCAAGGAATCCACATTTGTGCAAACCATAAAGACATGGCTTTACTAGACTGCTATTCTTGACACTTTTGGAGGTGAAAACCATATCCTTCCCTTCAGAAAACCAAACTCAACACAGTTGGGGGTTCAAGGTAGGTAGGCACATTTCAGAATTTATAAACTCTTTTTGGTAAAGTTCTGCTGCATTTGGCGTATACAGTCTTTACCAGGGGCATTGTTTTGTAATGTTTAGAATAAGATAACATAAGGGTGAAAATACTTCACTCACTGCCATACTGTAGAGATGACGTGAAATAAGTGTTAGTAATGCTCACAGGTTTGCATTAGGAAAGGAGGTAGTTGAGTCAAAAGTACTTCGGGATGTGATCTGGCTTTTGGAATATAGACCCAATGAAAGTTGTGGGTGGATTCAAATGTGGAATTTAAATTGTTTTTCTTTGGTGCAGAGCATAAGTCATGGCTAGCATTTTAACATATGAACAGGAAGAAAGTTTTCTTCAGACTTGGGATTTGTTAATTTTTGTTCTTCAGGCCCTGAAGCAGAGACCACGATTTGTGGCTTTAAAAAAACAGCCGTCCTATTTAGGAGGGGAGAACCTGGAGCTTCGTGATTATCAGCTAGAAGGTCTCAACTGGCTTGCTCACTCCTGGTGCAAGTAGGTAGAAAAAATATGTTTAAAGTTTTCTTTATTGTTTCTGACCTCTGTTTTAAGGTGCAAAGGATTATTTCTTTCTAATGTATATTAACAGAAATAAAATTATGTGATTGAGAGAAGTCCCTTCTGGGAGTTGTTATGTATGTGTTCTACCACTTTAACCTGAAGTACAGAGTACTTTGTTATTCATTATTTAGGGGGTAATTTGTCATAGCCAGAGACATATGTCAGAATATGTTATCTGTTGATATAAAGAGCAAGATAATGGTAGCACTTAGGTTTTAAGGGTACTTTGAGGCAGTACTCATAAATTTTATTCACCAAATTCAATATAAACTCAAGTAGTCCCTAATTCTGATATATTAGGGACTTATGTAGGCCTTGAGAATTTAACAGTGAACTAAGACAGACATGATTTCCCTGTCTCCATGGAGCATACAGTGTGAGAAGTACCTTCAGTGCGATCTACAGATTCCTTCCCCAACATGCAAACTTTTAATTTCTTTCATGTTATACTAATGCAAAAATTCTTTTTTCAGAATTAAAATATAACCTGGAAATAAAAAAACACAAGCTGCTTTTCTCAATGCTAAAAATGTGGTTTCTAGTTATAGACATTTACAATGTTTCCCAATTGAACCACCTTGTCCTATAAAATCTGATACAATAATTTAATATTTACTTATGAAAATTAGAAATGTTGAGAAGACTCAGTTTGTGTGACTGATAATGTGGGTTTAACATAACTATTCTAAATCGCTCGAGAACTGTTTTGTCTCAGAAGAGTGAGATCCAATATTCCTAAAGGATAGTTACAAAGCTAGGTGGAACCTTAAGGGCTTATCTAATCAAACCCTCTCATTTTATAGTTCAGGGTTCTTAGGAACAGAGATGTCATTCATGTACCTTGTCCAGAGTCACACCATGTTTCATGCCGAGTCCTTGGCCAGCATTTTTTACTTTAATATGACCGATTCAGAATCAACTGAAAAGGGCCCTGGTCCCAGAAACCTCGTATTAAGTAACTTGCTTTTTTGGTCTAGTTTCAGGAAAAATACAAATCAATTCAAATCTACTTTAGTGTGTATGCATGGACAGTGGCAGTTTGCTAGGGAGAGGAAATGTTGGAGAAAATTATCTGTTTCCTCCTAAGTAGTACAGAAAGGTGAGAGGAATATGAGGGAAATTATTGAAAGGAGAATGTTATATCTGATTTGTATATGAAATTAGGTGTAGCTGAGATTTATAGTTAGGGCCTTCTCTTTCTCCCTTTCCTCAGTGTGTTCTGCCTTGTTTTCTGTACTTTTCCCCTGAAACTAGCCATTCTGGGTAATGTAGAATTTATTTATTTATGTTTATCTATTTATTTATTTAGGTATCATTGATATACAATCTTACGAAGGTTTCACATGAGCAATATTGTGGTTACTACATTCACCCATATTATCAAGCACCCCTCCATCCCCCGCCGCATTGCAGTCACTGTCCATCAGTGTAGTAAGATGGAATAGATTCACTACTTGTCTTCTCTGTGCTATACTGCCTTTTCTGTGACCCTCCTACATTATGCATGTTAAGCATAGTGCCCTTTAATTCTCTTCTCCCTCCCTCCCCACCCCCTTCCATTTGGTAACTGCTAGTCCCTTTTTGGAGTCTGTGAGTCTGCTGTTGTTTGTTCCTTCACTTTTGCTTTGTTTTTACACTTCACAAATGAGTGAAATAATTTGTTACTGGTTTCTCTCTGCCTGGCTTATTTCACTGAGCGTAATACCCTCTAGCTCCATTCATGTTGTTGCAAATGGTAGGATTTGTTTTCTTCTTATGGCTGAATAGTATTCCATTGTGTATATGTATGACATCTTTATCCATTCGTCTACAGATGGACACTTAGGTTGCTTCCATATCTTGGCTATTATAAATAGTGCTGTGATAAACATAGGGGTGCCTAAGTCTTTTTGAATCTGGGATCTTCCCTAGGTATTTCTGATTCAGTAGATCTAGGTTGTATTCAGAAATCTGATGTGCTGTAGACAGTAGTGTATTTAAACAAGCTTTGTGCACCTGCAGCATGTAGGTCTAGGGAATAGTGTGTGTAGCATTAAACAACTCAATGGCATGCAGTGGAATGGGTGGGTAATCTGCACAGACACACGACGGTCAGGTGCGGTAGGTTCACCAGCAGTGGAGATAGCCAGTTTGCCCATGCTTTCTGTACTGATGGAACCAAAGGTCATGTTCTTGAATGCCCCAATATGATAAAACCTTCGTTCTCTGTTACAAGGGATAGATGTAAAGGACCAGAAGGTAAGGTAGAGAACATAGTCTGAATAGGCTTTCATAGTAATTCAAATCTTAACTATACTTAGATTACTTGTTCTGTGATTTATTTATTATAGCTTCTACTTTCTTCTTATGTAGGAAATTTAATTGCATATGAGAAGAAATATAGTTGAGGCTCATAGCCAGTACCTTGCTTGGTGACATTGTGAGGCATTGGTGTCATTGCTATTTATGCACATACTGTTTTTTGTGAACTAATGAATTTTTGTTCTTTGTTTTTCTTTCTGCAGAAGTAACAGTGTAATCCTTGCTGATGAAATGGGCCTAGGAAAGACCATCCAGACCATATCATTCCTCTCCTACCTGTTCCACCAACACCAGCTGTATGGCCCCTTTCTTATAGTCGTCCCTTTATCCACCCTCACCTCATGGCAGAGGGAGTTTGAAATCTGGGCACCAGAGATTAACGTAGTGGTTTACATAGGTGACCTGATGAGCAGAAATACGGTGTGTAAACAAAAAGAATTGGGATAGAATCTGTGTTATAAATGTATTTTGGAAATTGACCTAAAGCCATTATAGTTTTTAGTAAATTACGATTCTGACCCTGTGCTATGCCCCTGATATTGGGAGATTTAGGTAATCACAAAAACACAACTTGTATATTCTTTAAAGCATATGCTTACTATTTAAAGAAAAGCAATAGCACATGAATGGGGAATCTCTCTTAGTTCAGTTGCAGTATTGTTTCTTCTCTCTGTCCTCTGTACTTCTAAGACCACTTTATTTATAAAGGATTATCAGATGGGGTTAATACCTTGTGGAATGTTAATATTACTTTTGCTATTTCAATAGAGAGATTTTACTAAAAATAAACAAGTTTTTAGAGTTTATTTCCCAACCTTTTAAAATGGTGTGGTTGCATAACTTAGAAGAAGGGAATTAAGGGAAAGGACAAAAAGCCATTCTAGGGCTGCAGAAATGAGAATTATTTATTAATGAACTTAGCTTGAGCATCAGTAACTTCTAACACAGGGGCTTAAGTTTATCTGTTTAGCAAATCTTCTCTTGATAATGACTAGCTTTTTTAAAGCACCAGTTAAGTGTCAGGCCCTGTGCTGGGTGCTTTATGTATATTACCTGTGATTCTCATGATGATCTTCAAAGTAAATGGCTTTCTTTCCAGTGACTAATGAAGAAATTGACTCAGTGAGTTTAACACTTGTACTCAGGTCAGCAAATGTGGCAGAGCGAGCCTGGGGTTGGGACTGAGATGTGTCTGGTTCCAGGTGTTTGCTCTTTTAGCACTGTATGTTAGAGTGAACTATTTTCGGGAGATTGCTTTTAACAATAGAAAGCCATCAGGAATCCTCAAATCTTTGAGAGATATGTTATAATCGTATATTATGCTAATGAGAATTTCTTTTCATTAAATATTTTTATTAAAATTGTCTAACCTAAACCTGGTAGATTTCATTGCCCTAATTTTGAGTTTCTGAACATAGTCATTCTTAGCTTTGTCAATCTACTTGTTAATTGTTCTAAAAGAAAAAGAAAGCTTCCTAGATTAGGCAGGATAACTTCAAGCTCTGCATCAAAGGTGAAGACAAAGAAAGTGATCTCTGAAAAATTATGGAGTCAGGGAAGTGTGTGGTCTCCAATACTTCTGTTCTTCATTCTTCCCACTTGGTGGTGATCACCTGTGTGCACTCCTTGTCCTGTCTCCAGTTCTAACTTGACCGCTGAACTGGAGGAGCTTTGTCATGAGCCATTGTGCTTGCTGGGTGTCCGGTTAACCTTAAGTATGATTGTGTTAGTTTTTATGTTCCTTTACATCACCATTATTTTCATTCATATAGTATTTTCATGCTGTAAGCCTCCCTTACCTTTTTCTTGGGGGCCGCATCTTTCTACTGTATGCTTACTGAAATTTCTGAACCAAGCAGAGGTGGGAATTTGTTTATTTAATAGAAGTATTGGTGTACCCAAAGAACAATCAAATTATATTTCCTTAAGAAAATTCTTATTCTGGGAGATCCCTAGAGAAGTTCAAGTCACCAGGGTTTAATTCATGATGAAATGCATTGTTTTGATCTTATGTGTTGGGGTAGGGTGGTAGGGGAGATGACAATTTATTTGAAATCTGCTCTATACTTTGGTTGCTTAGGTCAATTTAGAATGTGTAAGTGATTCATTAAGCTCTAATCAGATTTATTTTTTATTTGGCATGTTTCTGTTGCATCTGTCACACAAGACTTGCTCATGATACAGAAAGATAAAAGTGGAAATTGCATCTTAATTACCATTTTTCTTATAGATACGGGAATATGAATGGATTCATTCTCAGACCAAAAGGCTGAAGTTTAATGCACTTATAACAACATATGAGATCCTCTTAAAAGACAAGGTGTGTAATTGTAACTAAAAGGCTAAATTTTGTAGTCTCATTTGCCCAAATAATGGAATGGAGGTCTCTGCCTCCCACTTGTAATGTTACTTCTGTTTGTTTGTTTAGAAAGGGAAACAAATAACACCAAGAAAAATATGCAAAGAATATTAAGGTTATAAATGAAAAACAAAACCTTACTGTTGGTGAGGATATTAGGTTGCCTGGTCCAGTCGAATTAAACAGGATGGAAGGGAATTGGGGCCAGTAAGTCATCTGAGACTCTATAGTCAGTCACTGGGAACTGGGCTTGAGTGCTGGCTTGGGCATTTCCCATCATGTCATTGTTCAGCCATTTCTCCAGAGCAGGTGATGTGAATGGTCTCTGTGAGGAAGACGTGAAATGAAGCTCTTTAAATGATCGCCTCCCTACTCTTAAGAACATCTGTGGCAGGTGATCCCATTGGTGAAAGTAAATGGAAACAAGTTCAATGTGGTGGCTCTCAGTGTTTCTGTGCTTCAGGGCAGGGGTGGAGAATAGGCAGAGAAGAATCTTACTGAGAAGACACTGCAAAATCATGTATTTCATTTTTGTGTTGTTTTTACCCAGCATACGAATGTTTATGTTCTTGCTTTGGGGCATTAGAGACCACCCCCCCACCCCCACCCCCGGCCATACTTTTAGATAATGATATGCTCTTTTGAGTAGATACCAGTCTGTCAAACTAAAAGAATAAACAGAAGAGTCCTAATATACTTGAAGTCAGTGAAGCATAAATGTCTCCCTGTATGCCTTTGTGATGTTATTTCTATAGAGATAATTGACACTTCATAGTACTTTTGGGTTGCCTTCTGACCTGGTGGCTTGTTCTGTTTTGTCTTTACTTTAGACTGTGCTGGGAAGTATTAACTGGGCCTTTCTGGGAGTGGATGAAGCCCATCGGTTGAAGAATGATGACTCTTTATTGTATAAAACTCTGATTGATTTCAAGTCCAACCATAGGCTCCTGATTACAGGGACCCCTCTTCAGAATTCCCTCAAAGAGCTCTGGTCCTTGCTGCACTTTATTATGCCAGAGAAGTAAGCTCCTTCCTGTGTATTTTAAATTATACTAGAATGTCTGAAATGCATGCTTTTTTTAAAAATTAAGGTATTATTGATATACAATCCTATGAAGGTTTCACATGAGCAACATTGTAGTTACTACACTCACTCGTATTATCGAGTTCCCCCTCCACACCCCGTTGCAGTCACTGTCCATCGGTGTAGTAAGATGGTATAGTCACTACTTGTCTTCTCTGGGCTGTGTAATGCCTTCCGCATGCTCCGGCCCTCTGTGTTATGTGTGCTAATCATAATACCCCTTATCCTTTTCTCTCTCCTGCTTTTTAACCTTTTAAATAGACCTTAGGGAAAACAGATGGCAAGGTTTGGGGAAAGCAAAGCATTGAACTGAGGCAAGAATGAAAGTAGTAAAATGTTCCATAATAAACAATAGGAGGCACAGAAATCAGCTAGTTCAGGAGGAAAGCATATTATCTACCAACATTTGAATTGTTAATGATTTTGGGAAATAATTTGTAAATAGGAAACATCAGACTTTCTCACTGTTGTTATAAGGTAATCAATATAATTGAAATGAAGTACAAGCAAGGTACACAATTTGACAAGTATTTTAAAATGCCTTAAACCCAGACTTTGATAACACAAGCATTAGTTGTATGTTATAGTTAATGTATATGGGACATATATTTTTATGATATTTTTATGTACATTTCATAAAACCTAAAATTAACTAGTGGTGTTAAGGTGAAATCTAAATTCATTACCCTAGTTTGGAAGACCCCACACAGTCTGGGCCTGTGGCAGTGCTGATTCATCTTAGAGCACTTTCTCTGTCACTTGTGCTCCAGCCATTGTGGTCGTCGTCGTGTGCCTTTAACATGCCTAGCCATTGCTGTTTTTCTTGTTGAGAATTTTTTTCCTCCTTATTTTCACATGGCCAATCACTTAATATTTTGGCCTCAGCTTATGTGACTGCCTCTTTTTAGAGGACATCTCAGACCACCTAACTTAAAGTAATCTGTTAGACATGCTTATTATCCCTAGGCAGTTCTTTTCTGTATGACACCTCTTTTTTGCATTCCCTCATCATCTCTTGTCATTAAATTATGCATTCAGAAATAGTAGGAATTTTGTTAATTTTATCCACTGATGGTCCACATTGCCTAGAATAGTACCTGGTATGCAATAAATAATTCAGTGTAAATGTTTCACAATTTTCTTTTTTAATTCAGAAAAGATTTGAGTGCCTACTTTGTGTCATAAAACTGAGCAAGGCATTTTGGATAGCCTAATGAACAACATAGAAATGGTCCCTTCTGCCATGTACTGCTAACTTTTTTTAAACAGCCTCTGTGTAGATGCAATTTACAGACCAAAAAATGCACCATTGTAAATATATGATATTTTTTAGTTAATGTATAGTGTTGTGCAGCCATCACCATAATCTAGTTTTAGAGTATTTTCCTCACCCAAGAAAAATCCCTCTTGCCCATTTATAGTTAATTTCTGCTTCTACTAGCCAGCTTGAGGCAATCACTAATCATCTCTAGAGATTTACCTTTTCTAGACATTTCATTTAAAGAGAATCCTAATAAGTAATCTTTTGTTTTTGGCTTCTTTGCTTTGCATAGTGTTTTTGAAATACACCATATATCATAGCATTTCTTAGGAGTTACTGTCTTAACTATGGAGTCAGACTCCACTGTATGCATGTGCAGTCATCAGTTGATATTGTTATGTTTTTGTGTGATTATATGTCTTTTTCTTGGTTAGATACATAGAGGTGGAATTGCTGGTTTGTTTGGAAAGTATATATATCTTGAGAAACTACTAGGCTGTTTTCCAAAGAGATGATGCCATTTTACATTCCTACTAGAAATGTTTGAATTTTCCAGTTTCTTTACATGGTCATCAATATAGTGTGTGGTTAGCCTTCTGGATCCTAGTACAGTTTTATAGTGGTGCCTAATTGTGGTTTTAACTTGCATTTCTGTAATGATTGATAATGTTGAACATCTTTTCATGTGTTCATTAGCCAGCCATTTGTGTATCTTTGGTGAAATGTCTGTTCAAATCTTTCACTTATTTTTCAATTGGTTTGTCTTAAGAGTGGAAGAGGTTTTTAATTTCTCTTTCTTTCCCTTTTTTTAATATTCTAAATTCAGGTGCTTTATTGATTTGCAAGTATTTTGTACCAATCTGTGGCTTGTCTTTTAATTTTCTTAATGTCTTTTGAAGAGCAAAAGTTTTTAAGCTTGATGAGGTATAATTCATTAATTTTTAAAAATGGATTGTGCTTTATTTTAATGTCATATAAAATATAAGACATTTTTGCTTAACTTAAGATCACACAGATTTTTCTCTTTATTTTCTTCTAGGAGATTTAGTTCTTATATTCTGATAAGTTCTTATAGTTCTGATGTAGGGTTGTGTTCCATTTTTAGTTTTTTATTTATAGGTGAAGTGTGAGGGTTTACAGGTTCACTTTTTTTGCAGAGGGATTTTGGAAATTGTCCCAGTGCCATTTGTTGAAAAGAATATCCTTTCTTTATTGAATTGCATTGGCACCTTTGTAGAAAATGAGTTGAGACCGTAAGTGTAGGGGTTCGTTTCTGGATTCTCAGTCTGTTCCATTGATGTATATTTCTATCTTTATGATGTTGCCACACTACCTTGATTACTGTACCTTTGCACTACTTTTTAAAATGGGGAAGTACAAATTCCAGTTGTGTTCTTTTTCAAATTATTTTGGCTATTCTAGATTCTTTGTATTTCCATGTGCATTTTAGGATAAGCTTAGTAAGTCCCGAAGAGAAAAAATCCGAATTTTGATAGGCATTGTGTTGAATGTGTATCAGTTTAGAGAATTATCATCTTGAGGTATCGAGCCTTTGAAGGAGTGTTCATGGGAAGCTCTCTCCACCTATTCCGGCTTCTGTGATCTTTCTCAGCGGTGCTTAGTAGTGCTCAGTATGTGAGTTTTGTACTTCCTTTGTTAAACTTATTCCTTATTTTAATTTTGATTTTGAGTGGAATTGTTCTTTAATTTTTAGATTATCCTAGTTTTGTATATTGATCTTTTATCATGTGACCTTATAAAAATTATTTCTACTGTTTCTGCTGTTTGTTAGTATTTTCTAGATACAGGATCACATCATCTCAAATAAAGGCTGCTAAAGTTGTTTTCTCTAACGTGGATGGATGCCTTTTATTTCTTGCTTTACTGTATGGGTTAGACCTCTGATGTTGAGTATAATTGGTGGGAATAGGGTGTTAGCTATAGAATTTTTGTGGATACCCTTTATCAGGTTCAGGAAGTTTTCTTCCATTGCTAGTTTTTGAGAGTTTTTTTTAAATGAATGAGTGTTAGATTTTGTCCCATGCATTTTTCTGTGCTTGTCAAGATGACCAGATAGTTTTTGTTACTTTGTCCACCAACATGATGTATTACATTAGTTACTTTTTAGACATTTCGTCAACCTTTCATTACTGCTATAAGTCTGACTTGGTCATGATGTTTAATCGTTTTAATGTGTTGCTAGATTCAGTTTGCTAATATTTTGTTAAAGATTCTTAGATCTGTGTTTTTGAGGGATATTAGTCTCTAGTGGTTTGCTTTTGTTTTGTGTGTATGATATCTGCTTGGCTTTGATAGAATCATAGAATGAATTGGAAAGGGTTCCCTCCTTTATTTTCTGAAAGAATTTTTAAGATTGGTGTTACTTCTTTAAATATTTGGTAGGATTCACCAGTGTAACTGTGTGGGCCTTAGCTTTTCTTTGTCTGAAAATTTTAAGTGACTAGTTTAGTTTCTAGTTAGAGGTCTATTCAGATTTTCTGTTTCTTCATTACTTAGTTTTGTTAATTTGTCTCTTTTAAAGAATTTGTCCATTTCATCTAAGTTGGCCTAATTTGTTGGCATAAAGTATTACCTCATAATCCTTTTAATTTTTTAAAGATCAATATTGATCTAAATAATTTTTGATTATGGCATTTTGTCTTGTTTCTTTTTCTTGGTCATTTTAGGTAGAGGCTTAACAATTTGGGGGATGTTTTCAAAGAAACAACTTTTGAGCTTATTGGCTTTTTTCTTTGTCTTGTATTTATTTCTACTCTTACCCTTATTAATGTCTTCCTTTCCTTTTTATTTAATTTTCACATTTTCTGCTTTCTTAAGGCAGAAGCTTAGATTATTGATTTCAGATCCCTTTCCCTTTTCCTAATATAGGTGTTTAAAGGTGTAGGTTTCCCTTCTTTATACAGCTTTAGCTGAATGCCATAAGTATTGATGTCTTATATTTTTGTTTTCATTCATTTTTGACTATTTTAAATTTCTCTGATACATGGGTATTTTAGAAGTGTGTTGCTTAATTTCCAAATGTTTAGGTATTACCCACTATTTTGTAGTTTCTTTTGTCTTAACAAACATAAAATGAATTTATTGTTACTTGTTATGTGGTCTAGTGTGTTTTCTGTCCTGGAGAATGTTCCATCTGCACTCAAAAAGAGTAATGTTATTCTGCTTTTGTGGGGTGGAATTCTGTAGGTGTCCATTACGTCAACTTGCTTAATAGTCTTGTTCAAGTTTTACATCTTTGCTGACTTCATGTCTAGTTGTTACATCAGTGAGAGTGAAGTATGTAGCATTTAACTGTAGTTGTTGAATGAGCTGCTTCTTACAGTTCTGTGAGTTTTTCCTTCCTGTATTCTGGGGTTCTTTCGTTAGGTGCATGCACGTTTATACTTGCTCTATGTTCCTGACGTAGTGGCCTTTTTATCATTATGAAGTGTTCTTCTTGAGTAGTATTTCTTATTCCTTAGGGCCATTTTGTGTGATATTATAGTTCTTCAGCTTTCTTCTTTTAACTGTTCACATGGTATACTATTTTGCATTGTTTTACTTTTAACTTACTTCTTTCTGAGTCTAAAGTGTGTCTCTTGTAGACAACATAAAATTGGATCTTTTTGTCTAGTCCAGCAGTGTCTGCCTTTTGATTATTTAGTTCATTCACATGTAATGTAATTATTGATAGGGTTGGATTTATGTCTGTTTTATTTTGCTCCCACTCCCCCATGTGTCTTGCTTCTTTCTCCTATTCCTATTCCTATTTTTCCTTTACTGCCTTTTTTGTTTCAACAAATATTTTTCAGTGTGCTATTTTAATTCTGTGTTGATTTTTTAAAAGTTACTTTCATAGTGGTTGCTGTAGGGAGTTTAGTGTGTATCTTATGTCTTCTTCAGATCAGTACTGATTTAATTTTATAAAAACACAACAAATTTTCTGCAGTGTAGCTCCATTTTCCCATCCTTCCTAGCCTTAAAAATCTAAGAATAGACTGATGTAATTACTACTTTAATCAAGCTTGTCTTTTAAGGAAACTAAGAAAAGAGAAAATATGATCATATAGTCTTTTATATTTACCCATTTTATCATTTCCAATGGTCTTCATTTCTTGCTGTGGATTCAGGTTGCCATCAGGTGTCACTTCCTTTTAGCTTGAAGGTGCCTTCTTTAGTTTTTCTTGTTAGGCATGCCTACTAGCAACAAATTCTGTGCCTTCATTTGGTTTCCAGTTTTTTACCTGTATTTTTGAAGCCTCCAGAAGGTGGGTAGAAAAATTTGATCACTCTGGCCGTGCTATCCTCAGTACAGATTTAGTAGAACTGGTTGAAGCTATTTCTTTTTTGCAGACATCCTCACCACAGTGTGCTTCTGGGGAAGGAGCCCCCTCTGCACCCCATCTTCCCTGCCTTCTCTTAGAGCAGGGTTTCTCCCCCTCAGCATTGTTGACACTTTGGGCTGGGTAACTCTTCTTGTGGGGGGCTGTCCTTCGCATTATAGTGTGTTCAGCAGCATCTTTGGCCATTACCCACTGCATGTCAGTAGCAGCTCCCTTTTTCAGTTACAACAGGCCAGTGTCTCCAGATGTTGTCAAATGTCCCCCAGAGAGGCAAAATTGGCACAGCTGAGAAACACTGTGAGTGGGTACCTGGTGTCTCCCTCCCCACCTGCTCTTTCTCCTGTCATTCTCCACCCTTCCCACCCTGTTTTACTGCTCCTCTTCTGTCTGTCCTCTTTGCTTCTCACGTGGGTCCTCTGTTTCTTCCACAGAGCTCTGTGAGTCAGTAGTGGTCACTCTGCTAAGGATGGAGGCAGTTTCCCCCTTCTCTTCTTAAGCATTCTGCTGTACATTCTGCAACGAGAGCTCTGTTCATCATGTATTGGCAGAAGCCCATGTTTTTCTAATGTGTGCTTTTCAAAGATAGAAGTGCTGTAAAACAGATAGTATATAAAAGTTTAGAAACAGTGGCTGTTACCAGTTACTAATCTTCATTTTCTGAAATGGTAAGAGAATTTTCATGTGTATTACTTTATAGTTTTCATATTATTTCCCAGTTTTGATCTTTTTGATATATGGGAAGTATTTAGCCTCAGATTGCAAATAAGAATTGCTGACTTACAGAGAAGTGCTTAGGCCTGAAGTGCTTCCTTTAGTTTTTCTCCTAATCATGCTTAATAGCAACAAATTCTGTCCTTTATTTGGCTTCCAGGTTTTCATCAATGTGCAGAGACAATGACATTGTGTTCCATATCACATGGTTAATAAGTGGATGGACTGAGATCAATGTCAGGTCTTCGGTGACCAAGGCCTTTGTCCTTTGAGTTTCAAAATTTAAGAGGAAAGGTATATCCTTCATCGCACCACTGAGATGAAGGAAAAGCATTCTGTGTAGCAGGAGTCTCAAGGCATTGTGGAAATATCTGCCCTTGTTAGAAAAAGAATGTGGTACATGATTTTCACCAATGAATGGTTAGATAAGATTTGCCCTTCTGTACTTTGCTACTGAAGTAGATGGTATAGATTTTGGCTCCCAGATGGTTGTAATTAGTTGTTTGCTGCTGTTAATTCCACCCAGCATAAGCTACATTTTGGGGAGAAGTTGTATATATCCTGTTTTTTTTAACTGAAGAGAGGAACTTTGAATTACTTTTTCTAATAGAGATGACCTTCCAGATAGTATTTTCCAAAGTTTTCCTTATGGCCAGTTGGCTTATGGAATGATGGATTGAAGTTAGAGACATAATTAAATAATGTGTTTATTTATTTATTTTTGGTGGAAGAGAGCCTTTTCTCTGGAAAACCTTGTTTTGAAAACATCATTTTCAAACATTTGAAAAAAAACATTGCTTTTCATAAAGATGCATGTATAAAAAAGGAAACCCATTAGTTGGAATGGAGTTGAGATTTACCCTTTTTCTGCAGGAGCTTCCTATGTGAATGACAAGAATCCTGTGAAGTATTACCCCATGTATAGTGATAGTTCCTTAGGTCCTGTGGTTCTGTAGAACCATTTGGTCCCTTCAAAGGATTGATCCACATGGAAGAGAATTAAGTTTGGTCAGATAACTTTTCAACTTCCCCTCATGAACTGTGATAAGACATTGTTTTCAGAATTTAAAAGTTAATCCTCTTTTTAACCAACTTGTAATGGCCTTTCCTTAGTGCAGAGATTCAAACACCTTTCCTACATGGTGGCCCTGACCATAAGCCTGCCCTTATTGTAAATGTGTGTCTATGTATGTATCAGTCAACCCTTTGTTTTGTATATACTCTTTTGCAAACCATGGGACTTGGTATTAAAGGTAGAAAAAGATATGGCAAGACCAAAGAATTCAGCTTATAAAGATAATCATGTGTGAATATATACTTCATACCCACCCCTCAAAGTGACCTCGTTTTGAGAGAGCATAGTTCAAAGTCCTAACCTCTTCGTATTTGATTTTTTTTTTTTTTGACTTTGGATTCTGCTGTCTAGGCCAATCTCCCAATTTTTTTGTACCTTTTCCTTCACATACTTATACCATGACTTCTGACATACCATTTTCATTCCTTTGATTTAATTTTCCTCCTCATTATTCCTTAGTAGAGTGAACTTGTGTTTTTCTAAAATCACAAGGTCTGGTATTTTTAAATAATCAAAATTGTTTCTGCTTTCATGAAAGACATGTTAAATACAGAAGTTGATAACATTAAAGTAATGAGTCTCTAGCCTGCGGAATGGCATCATTCTAAGTTCACACTATGACCATGTCATGCCTTTTATTATGTGGTATTACAAATTGACAGTTGTCTGCTGCAGGGAATAGCAAACTTAAAGGACCTGATAGTAAACATTTTTCAGCTTGTAGGCATTACAGTCTCTATCAAGCTTCTCATCTTTGCTGTTTAGAGGGAAAGCAGCCAATGACAATTCATAATTCAGTATGTATATGAAGAAATAGTATCATATAAACTCCTTTAATTTAGTAAGAGTGCAATAGGTGGATAAAAATATTGGTTGTCTAAAACAGGAAGTAAATCTTATAAAGTTTGTATTTAAGTTTTTAGACTGGTATAGTTTTAATTAATTAGAGTATATGTTAAGTAAATTATTCTCTTTAAATTATCTCCCAGCTCTTCAGAAAATAGCCTATGATAGTCCCTGATTTCTAGTTGCTTCATACATTTGTGTACAAGGTGCCATCCCCAGCATTGAGATAGTTTAGTTTACATTGTTCCTTTTAATCTTTTCATTAGTTTAATCCAGTTATTTTATGTTCTTGGAGTATTTTGCATAGTAGTGTGACAAATACAATTCATCTTAGGTTTGTTAGGTGCTATGCTTTAATGATTTTTTTAGATCTTTTTACCCTAAAGGATAATTTTGTCTACTTCCCTGAAGGTGGTTGTTTCAGGCACCAGGTATTGTTAAGGCTTTGTTGATCCACCTAGCAGTACCTGATGACATCCTTGGCTGTTCAGGAGCTCAGAAATGGCAGCAGACTCTAAACCAGTGTACCTGGTGGCAGTGCTGGCATTTGCTGTATCTGACTTCCCGTCTTATCAGAGAGCATATGCCTTGAGTCTTCTAGAGCTCCCTCTAGGTAATGTTGAGTCACTCGGGTTTATTATTCTGGGATTTCACTGGCCTCAGTAGTGGGGCCTCTGGTGTCAGGCCGACCCTGGGGCCATGATGAAGCTTTCCGGTCTGTCCTCAGTCACGTGTTCTGCTCTCACTTGCTGCGTTTCAGTTGCACACAAAACTAGGCTGGTTCTTCCAAGTGCTTCACTGGCTTTCTAGTGGCAGGACAAAGCACATTTTTCGAATCTTTTGGAAATAAATTTCCTTCATTTTATTTTTGGAAGAAATTTGATTGTGATAGCCAATTTTGGATTTCTGCCACAGACCCTGTAGTGAACCAAAGGTAGTTAATTGAATAAAGATTTAAACATGAGAAATGTTTATCTACAGAATTGAGGCAGAATTTACTCTGGGTGATAAGTTTTAAAATGTATTAATAAAATTTATGTCTCCAAGTACTAATAGTATTAAATTTGTATCACTTTTATTGCTTTCTTTTCTGGGAGCCATAGGCCTTTTACTGTCATTATAATCCATTAACTTTTTAATCTATGACAGTGAAGATTATTGATAGAAATTATGTAGCTTTACCTTTGGTGACAGCTGTAATATTGCCACTAATTATTCTTTTATGTCTGAATTTTATTTTCACAAATTACAGCTTTTAAAAGATAACTTCTGATTAATTTTCTCCATCACATTTGTGACAATAACTTATTTACATGACAGTAACAGTATTTACTTAAATGCTAATTTCCTGATACACTAAACTATTTCCTGAATTCCAGATCCAGTCTCAGAATTGGAAAACTGATGTTACCCAGTGTAGACTGAGGGGATTGATTGGCTTTCCCTTTCTTTTCTGTTTTCCCCTCTCTTTGTAGTCAAGAGCTAGTGACTGATAAAATTTATCTTTCCTTATAGGGAAGATTATTTTTTTAAACATATTTTTTCAAGTAATTTTAGTTGGAAAAATGCTTTTTTCTTCCATGTAACTAAGTAACACTACTATTTTATCTCTAGGTTTGAGTTCTGGGAAGACTTTGAAGAAGACCATGGGAAAGGGAGAGAGAACGGCTATCAGAGTCTCCACAAGGTGCTGGAGCCTTTCCTTCTCCGCAGAGTCAAGAAAGATGTGGAGAAATCCCTTCCTGCCAAAGTGGAGCAGATTCTCAGGGTGGAGATGTCGGCACTTCAGAAACAGTATTACAAGTAAGTTGCCGGCTGCTTTAGTCCCGGTGGGATTGGTATCAGTACTCTGAAGCTGTGAGATAGACTGATAAACTACTTTTTTCAGTAAAGCCGCAAAACAGATTTTAAGTAGCTATTTATAGTCAGAAAGAGGAAGTTTTATTATTCTTGCCTTTTTATTTGGGTGAGAATTTGCACAGCACTTCCCAGTTATGTCAGGGATTTGAAGTATATGTTAATTCTTGTACTAATACCCCTACCAATGAACAAGCATATTTCACTCATTGATTTATTTGTTTTTTTGCCATTAGTTCAGTCATTTATTACGGTTCTACAATGTGCCATGCTAGATACTGGGCATAGGAAGATGAACGGAGCATGTACCTGCCAGAGGCCTTGTTTAGTTGGGAAGACAGATTAGAGACAAGTAATTAGAAGTGTTTAATACTTGCAGCATATGTAGGGGACTGTGGAAGTTGAGATGCTGATCTCTGTATTGAAGGGCGAAGACTTCTTTCTAGCACTCCAAGTGGCATTGGCAGGTTATGGACTTGGTTTAAGATAGATGTTAAAGGCAGAATGGTGAATCTGGGACAGAGTGTGGTATGTAACGTGCTTATCATGGGCTTTAGGTTTAACGATTTAAAGTTGGATCTGGAATAATTGGGACTAATTGTATTGCCATGAAAATTACTGTCTTTTAAAGTTAGAGATCTGGTAATCTCTAATAATATTCCCTGCTTGTGCTTAGTACAACTGAATAAAAACAAGAATTTTTTTTGACTGGCATAGTATTATTTATTTACACATTAAAAAACACTTCAAATATGTATTTCAGTCTCATACTAGAATGGATCTAAGAAAGGCACAATTTCTGATAAGTAATTGAATGAATGCAGTGGTCAGGCCTCCAAGATCCCATCCTTATTTATTCTTTTTTTTTAATTGAAGTATAGTTGATATACAGTCTTGGTTTCAAGTATACAACACAGTGGTTAATAGTTACCCGTATTATTTAAATACTCACCCCTGCTAATGCGGTTACTATCTGTCCACACAGGAAGATGTTACAGAATCTTTGGCTGTATTCTCCATGCTGTACTACCATCCCCATGACCAATGTATATTGTGATTGAGAATTTTTGTGTCCCTTTACCCCCCTCACCTTTCCCAGCCATCCCAACGCCCAACGTGTTGGTTACCAATTTCTCCCCCATGGTAACCACCAGTGACTTTTTAGTGTCTATGAGTCTACTGCTATTTTTTTTTTATTAAGGTATCGTTGATACACAATCTTACGAAGGTTTCACATGAGCAACATTGTGGTTACTACATTCACCCATATTATCAAGTCCTTTTCCCACACCCCATTGCAGTCACTGTCCATCAGCATAGGAAGATGCGATAGAATCACTACTTGTCTTCTCTGTGCTGTATTGCCTTCCCCGTGACCCCCCTACATTATGTGTGCTAATCATAATGCCTCTCAATCCCCGTCTCTCTTCCTCCCCACCCATCCAACACACTCCCTTCCCTTTGATACCCGCTAGTCCCTTGTTACAGTTTGTGACTCTGCTCCTGTTTTGTTCCTTCAGTTTTGCTTTGTTGTTATACTCCACAAATGAGGGAAATCATTTTGTACTTGTCTCTCTCCACCTGGCTTATTTCACTGAGCATAATACCCTCTAGCTCCATCCATGTTGTTGCAAATGGTAGGATTTGTTTTCTTATGGCTGAATAGTATTCCATGTGTATATGTACCACATCTTCTTTATTCATTCATCTATTGATGGACACTTAGGTTGCTTCCATTTCTTGGCTATTGTAAATAGTGCTGCCATAAACATAGGGGTGCATATGTCTTTTTGAATCTAGGATCTTGTTTTCTTTGGGTAAATTCCTAGAAGTGGAATTCCTGGGTCAAATGGTATTTCTATTTTTAGCTTTTTGAGGGACCTTCATATTGCTTTCCATAATAGTCGAATTAATTTACATCCCCATCAACAGTGTAGGAGGTTTCCCCTTACTCCACGTTTGTAGTTCCTTGTCTTTTCGGTGTTGGCTATCCTAACTGGTGTGAGGTGATATTTCATTGTGGTTTTAATTTGCATTCCCCTGATAATTAACGATGTGAAGCATCTTTTCATGTGCCTTTTGGCCATCTGAATTTCTTTTTCTCAAAAGTGTCTGTTCAGATCCTCTGCCCATTTTTTAATTGGGTTACTTGGTTTTTGGGTGTTGAGGTGTGTGAGTTCTTCATATATTTTGAATGTTAACCCCTTATTTGATATGTCGTTTATTAATATATTCTTCCATACTGTAGGATGCCTTTTTGTTCTACTGTTGGTGTCCTTTGCTGTACAGAAGCTTTTTAGCTTGATGTAGTCCCATTTGTTCATTTTTGCTTTTGTTTCCCTTGCCCAAGGAGATGTGTTCAAGAAAAAGTTAATCAAGTTTTTATTCATGAAATTTCTACTTCTCTTTTCTTCTAAGAGTTTTATGGTTTCATGACTTACATTCAGGTCTTCCATCCATTTTGAGTTTACTTTTGTGTATGGAGTTAGACAGTAATCCAGCTTCATTCTCTTACATGTAGCTGTCCAGTTTTGCCAGCACCAGTTGTTGAAGAGGCTGTCATTTTCCCATTGTATATCCATGGCTCTTTTATCGTATATTAATTGGCCATATATGTGTGGGTTTATATCTGGGCTCTGTATTTTATTGAACTATGCGTCTGTTCTTGTGCTAAAAACAAGATTTTAATTAAATCTGACTCTTGTCTAACACTACCTTGATTTTCAAAAACCCTTTTATTACAGGAAATCTCAAATATATACAAAAATAGAATAGTATATAGTCATGTACCTATAACCAATCCAACTTCAACAGTTATTAACTCAGGGCCAATCTTAGTTCATCTGTATCTTCTTTTGCACTCTAATTTTCACCTGTAGATTGTTTGAAATGTATTCCAGGTACATATTATAAATGTTTTTATATATCATAAGGACTCTCAAGATGTAAGCAGAAAAATCAAGCTCATAGATACAGAGAAAACAGATTGGTGGTTGCCAGAGTCAGGGATTAGGGGGTGAGACAAATGGGTGAAGTGGGTCAAAAGTGTAAACTGTTAAAAATAAATAAGTCATGGTGATATATGTACATTATGGCGACTTTTGGGAATACCACTGAGTTGCATATTTGAAAATTGTTAAGAGAGTAGATCTTAAACTGTTTTCAGTGTAAGTCAAAAAATTTTTGTAATTGGTGATATATTTTACCTGGATTTATTGTGGTTATTTCACAATACATACAAATATGGAATCATACACTTGAAACTAATACAATGTTATATATATGTGTCAGTTATAGTTAAGCATGATTTCAATACTATTATCATGCCTAAAATATCGGTAATTTCTTAACATACAGTGTCCAGTGAGTGTTAACATTTCCCTATTGTCATATACATATACATCACATACACACACACACATTTTGCTTGTTTGAGAGTTAAAGGAAGTTCCGTACATTATGATTTGTTGACATGTCTAAGTTTATTTTAGTCTATTTTCTCCCTGTCCTTGTAAATTTTCTGAGTGAAGAAACTGCATCTGTGTTGTATATTTTCCTCATAGCCTGGATTTTGCTGATTGTAGCTCCATGCATCGTTTAACATTTGAACATTTAACACTTTTTTTTGTTCACTGTGCATTTACAGATAAGTGTAGAGCCTTGATTAGACTCATATTCATTGTATGTCTTGAAATGCAAATATACATTCTTTTACAAGGAATTTTTTCTTTGTTTTATCTAGCAAGTATTGATGAGTATCCTAGATAAACTAATTCATTAGGGATTGAGGTGGTATTCAAGTTTTATTATGCTTTTGTTTATTAGCTGGAATACTTAAAAACTTGCCCATATCTAGTGAGTAATATAGCTCATAGTTCATATAGGAAAGACAATAAATTCATGATTCTTTTTGATGTTTGACATCTAAAAAATTTTTAAGTTATTTTTTAAGCTGAAATGGATAAGCTCCTTAAAGCACTTGAGATAGTTTTTCTTTCTGTGGTTAGGCTACCACTTGGATACAATGGTTTATTTCATTTTAGTTTTGTTTTTTAGGGATTGCTTTCCTTAATTTTGTTTTATAGTTACTTATATTTATAGACTTCCAAAGACAGAGCTACAAATCCTGGTATGTTCAGAGATTATCTAGCTTCAGTCCTTGTCCCTCCGTTCTAGTTCTACTTACCCTTTGGTAGTAATAATTATCATTTTAAAAAATCATAATGTCTTTTTAAAAATTTTAAAAATATAAGTGAACACATTTTAACTTTTTTTATTGCCTCCCTTTTATATAAATGGTAGCATGCTATGTACATTTTCTGTACCTTTTTCGCACTTAATGATAAATGTTGAACACTCCATAAGTTTGTAGAGCTCCTCCTCCTTTTTATAACTGCATGGTGTTTCCTTTGTGTATCTGTAGCATAGTTGATTGAACTAGTCCCCTAGTAGTGGACGTTTGGATTGTTTTAAATACTTTGCATAATGAAAATCCTTGAGCATTCCTCTTTGAGCTTAAAGTATGATTGGTAAAAAAGCTTAAAGAAACTTCACTACTCAGAAAAACACACTAGTATTTTGTGGTGTAGGGTTAAAGCTTGCACATGGATATGCACGAATGTGTATTTCTCCTCCATTCTTTCCAAGTTTGGGTATACAACATACCATGAGCATTTTATCATGTAAAATACCCTTTCACAAAAGTTTATAAGCAAGTATATAGCTGCTAGCTGATAGTATATCTTATTAAACCTATTTTTAGACAACTTGTTTCCATTTTTATGCTATAATAAAGAGTGCTCCAGTGACAATCCTTGTTTTACATATATGTGGGTATTTCTATATATATTTTGTTGTTTTTCTTTTGACTATTCCCTTGTTTCATCAGGTTGAAATACCCAATAGAATGATTAGCATTCTGAACCTAACTGGAGATGTGAGAGGTCCTGGTTAGGTGGCAGGAGATGCAAAATAAAATATCCCTCTTGGCCTTTTTAACTTTTGTAGCTCCTTTTCAATTTTTTTTTTTTTTCCCAGTAATGCTACTCTCTCTTACAGTGTTCTGGTATCCCCAACTATTTCTTTGAATCTAACGATACCATTATTTCAATTTGCAGATGGATTCTGACCAGGAACTACAAGGCTCTTGCCAAGGGAACAAGAGGCAGCACGTCTGGTTTCCTTAATATCGTGATGGAACTGAAGAAATGCTGTAACCACTGTTACCTGATTAAAGCCCCTGAAGACAATGAGAGAGAAAATGGGCAGGAGATTCTTCTGGTGCGTGGTTACCTTGTTTGTAATTAGTTTCTCAGAGACAAGTTAGTTTCTATACAAGCTTTTTATCGAAATGATTTTTTCTCCTTTGATGGAGAAATAATCAAAAGAAGCTTTAGAAACAGATGAGAAAAATTAATTAGGAAGAAAATGGGTAGTGTCACAGATGCTAGGTGAAGAGCATTTCAGGAATTGCTTGTCAGCTAGACTGCAGAGAGCTTCACAAAGCTTAAAGGTAATTTAAAGAATTGGAATTTTTAGAAATTAAGGGCAGATTGAAACGTGGATTTGAATATCTTTCAATCTTCAGTCCCTGATTCGGAGCAGTGGGAAGCTGATTCTGTTAGATAAACTGTTGACAAGACTTCGAGAAAGGGGGAACAGAGTCCTTATTTTCTCCCAAATGGTGAGAATGCTGGATATCCTGGCCGAGTACCTGACTATTAAGCACTATCCCTTCCAGGTAAGGATGCTCAGTAAGTAAGTGATATCCCTCCCTCTCTCCCTCCGTCTGGGTTTTATGCTTTGCTTGCTAAATTATCTTGAGGTAGAAAACAAGAGTTTTCTTGCTTGAAACAGATTGAGATTAAGGTTCCAGGAGGGTCTCTATTTTTACTTTCATGACCTTAGGCTACCCCGCAGTGAAAATGATCCTGTGAAGATCATTCTTTTTTGGGAGATGAGGGAATGTGGCTCAGTGAAAGGAAAACTGGGCAAGAGCAAAGTATGTCAGATATAGTGTCTTACATCTCCAAGTCTGTGGTAAAAAGAAGGAAGTTTGAATCCAAATACGAAGCCCAACTCTTAGAGAGGAGGTGACATCACCTCCGCAGGAAATTGACCCTGAGGCTGGGAACTCAACAGAACTGTGTACTTAAAACCTTGCCAGTCCTTGAAGCAAGTGGTGATGCCCCCCTGCCCCCTTTTCTCTGCAGAACTGTTGCTACAGATTTTCATCTTCATTCAATTACCTCTTCTAAGATAAGGAGAAAATCAAGATAAGGGGGAATAGTTACTTCAGCATAATAATTTTTCTGGGTGTTAGACTGTGTGAAACTTATCTCTGATCTATTTATGGACATGTATGCAACTTACCTTGATTTTCTGCATATTTTTATATGACAATTCTTTTATATTGACTACTTTTATAGTGCTTTGATTTTTAAGATTTATTAAAAATTATTAAGATTTATTTTTTCTTTGGATGGACTGTTCACCAACTTATGTAATTATTGATATTGAAGAAATGTGGAGTCGGTGATTCTGTCCTAAGAGAGTCAAGCCTTAAGATTCACCGACAGATTGTCTTTCAGAATACCCTGAAAGGCATTGTTCTATCCATAATACCTTGTGTGAACTTACGGCAGCTGCCTTAAAATGCAGTTTAATACTGTGATTATTATGAAAAATTAAAAAATAGCACATTACAAAAAGATAGTTCCTCCCAATGCATTTGATCCCAGGTCTAGCTAGTCATTTGATACCAAGAAAAAATAAATGCATTACTTTCTCTTTAGGGAATGTCAGGCTGGAGTCCTCTCAGGTCTGGCATATGCTTAATGAACGTCTTATACTAAGGGAATATTTAAAAAGAAGGCATTTGAGTTTCTGATTTTAAATACGGGCTATGAACTTGCCAGTTAAACTTATCTTTGGGTTAAGCCTCTGTGTGATTCAACTTAAGTGCAAGTGGCTCTGGGTCTGGTCAGCGAAACTCTGAGCTGGGGAGAGAGAGGGGTGGGTCCTTCCACCGACTCTGTTCCTAGCTAGTTATTGATCACCAGCCAGCTGATAACGGTCTCTTAAGTCAATTGTGCCTCTGTAAGGTGAGGTCTTTTGTTTATTTCCAAGTGGTCGTTGTGGGTGGGGGGAAGCAATGTGTTTTAAGAGTGAGAATTACTTCATTACATACAGCATACACATTTAATTCTGAAGGTTTTATTTTACATACTGTATGGGTTCTCTATGTTGATATCATTTTGAACTCAGAACTGACATACACTAATAAAAGAATCACACACACTAGTAAATATCAGGACCTCTCTTGAAGATGCAATTGGCTGAACACTGATGTAATTTTTGGGAAAGCTAGTATATATGATCACCTTAATTTTAATATTTTTAGTGTTATAGCAAAACGTTTTCTAAACAAAGTTATGTAAATAATTTTTTGGTTTGTGTAGAACTTAATAATTATGCAACTTTTAGCTACATTAATTAGCTAAGAGGCATCATTTTCATCAGGAGCTAATTACTTGGTGGCTGGTGATACTATATCCCAATCTCTTCAGTACCTAGAGATGTGGAAGCAAACAAAACTGAGAACAGCTTGAGTTGCCGTCTTACTCCTTATAGGACCTGGCAGCCATTCTGATCCTTGGATAAACCTAGATAGCCCTTTGAATCAGCAGCTCTGACCTTGAGTTTGTAACTGGAGAGCTTGGGGAAAGCAGGGTGTGCTGCTTAAGCACAGCCCCTTGACAGCACTTTGCCAGTGCATTCCGGTTATTTTTACTACATGGGTATTGGAATGATGAAGCTTACAAGTCTGGTGTTCTTTTCTGAGTGCAGCCCGTTGTCCTACCTTATGATTTCCTTGTGGTTTATTTTTACAGCGCCTGGATGGTTCCATCAAGGGAGAAATCCGAAAACAGGCACTGGACCACTTCAATGCAGACGGGTCTGAGGTATACCTTGTATGGCTTTGTTGTTTGGGCAGTCGGAGCTCTGTGTCAAGGGGAAAGCCTTGCTAGCTTGATGCATTCTGTTTCAGAACAGTTCATAGTGAACTGCTCCTGCCTTGAGACAGGAATAAGAAATCGCTAATATAAAAGATGCCTCTTAATTTTGTTGATTGTCACTTCAAAAAAGCATATTCATGTTTGTTTATCTACCCTGGTCTGGATTAATGACAGGGTAGTTCTGATACCAACTGGGTGTTCTCTGGTGGCTCCCAGAGCAAATTTCTGGGGCCTGGGAGAGCAACAGAGCAAGATTGAGGAAGGGCTGGCCTGGCCACTAGGATTATTTTTAATGCATATGTTATATCAGAAGGTTCTGTTTTGTGCTTTTCTGGTGACCGAGGCTGGAAAAGTACATTTGCCATGTCTCAAATTTGTTGGACTTTTGCTAAGATGTTGCTAAATGTTCTTGATTTGGCTAACAGCAACATTTGTTAATCAGTAATTGACCAGCTTGGATTTGCATTATCAAGTCTTGCTTTTAAGGCACATACAGCAGAGCTACTTAGGACAAGTTAGCCATGATAACATTGTCGTCTGTGCATGTGAAACTTAAAGTCTTTGGGGTTTGAGAAAAGTGGAGAAGAAGGAGGTTCAGTGTGGGGAGTGCTGTAGAGCCACGTGTACCACATACAGGAAGCAGTGGAGAGAACCAGCAGTACAACTAGAGTGTTTGGAGAGCACCTGGGAACTTACAAAGCCTGGACCACCGTTTTTGTACAGACAGAATAGCCCTACTTTCTGCTTTCTGAGGAGCCTTGAAACATTTTAGTGACTCTCTTACCCCAGAATAGGCTGCCACGGCCCCTAGAATTGCACATAGGCCTAGTTAGACTATAGTATTCTGGTTGCTGCTTTAGCCTGAAAGTTCAGTTCCTTGAGGAGCTTTGGACACCGATCTCTTCAGAACCAAGGCTGTGCATAGTTAAGAAGAGGAATTGAATTCCTAAAAGCACTGGTCACATCTAATTCCCATCCCTCCTTTCTCTCCACTCTGTTTCCTCAAGTGTGAAATCTTGATCATTCCAGTGCCTTCCTCCTAATACGTGTGTGAGGATTAAGTGCGGTGGCCGGCATAGAGCACCGAGCGCAGCGGCCGAGCACAGCGAGCTCTCAGGGACTGTTGGCTATTTTTGTAATGGGGTATTTGTTAAAATTGGTTTTGTGTTTCTTGCTGTTATTTTAAAGAATGAGTTGAATGTTTCATATTGTCCTTTCTCAGAAAAAAGCTAAAGTTGCCATTTTCTATAGTTCTTAGTTGATCCCCCCACTGGATGGCCATATGTAAAATATGGGTTCTCTACCATATTCTGCAAATCTCTTTCTTAATTCATTAAAAAAATACAATACTTTATTGTTGGGGGAAAGATACTAGATGCACATTTAGAAATCTAGAGTACAAAGAAGAAAAATCTTACAAAACCCCCCTCCTGGACAGAGCTTTCTGTATTCACATCATTTGGATGTGTTTTCATTCATACTGGATGGAACTGCTCATTTGTTTATGTTTACCCATTTGGTGTCATGTGCATATAGTTCTATAGTCACCATTCATTCAAAATTGTACTCTGAGCATTTTCCCATGTCATTAAAGATTTAAACATTATTAAATTTCTAATATTTTCTCATGCCTATTCCACTCTTTAACATATTTTTGATGTTTAATTAGGATGGTGTGAGCATTTAAAAAAAGATTTTTGATATATTTTGCTAATTACTTTCCCAGAACAATTTACATCATACCATTCATATATGAATATTTCCATTTACCTCACCCTTAGCAGCATTGGGTTTCATAATTTTAAGCCTTTGTTAATTTTATAATAGATACAATGACTTAATTTCATTATAGTTCATATTATCTTTGATAAGGAGTGACATTAAAAATTGTTTATGTGATGATTCTGACCTCAAATTTTATTAAGTTTAGGTATCTCATTCTAAAGTGACCACTGTTTACCTGCAGACTTCTCTTTAGTGTGGTGTTGTTTGGTATTTCCACCAAGGATTATTGAGTGTGTGCCTCAACATGGCTGTTGATCAGTTCTTTATTGGAATTGTTCAAGTTCTTGTGAGAATGATGTCCCCATTTTTATTTCTATGGCATACTGCTGGCAAATGTGACTGTTAGAATGTGAAGACATTTTCATTGCATCTATGTGTGTATATTAAATATACCCATTTATCAAAATATAACTCAGAACTACCAGTTCTTCAGTGCCACTTCTGTGCCAAAAAGATGTCAGCCTTTGACATATATGATCAAATGCCCTGAAAATAGAAATCTGTCTGGCTTTCTGTTTTTCTGGCTCATACAGTTTATTTCCTGCCTCCTGCCCCATTTTTTCTGAGTTCTTAGATCAGGCAGTGTATTGTGCCTGCCCAGTCTCTGTATCATTGCTTGGGAACTGGGATATGTCACTGCTTGGGTCTTTCCCACAAGTGGCCCTTCAGTCATGCCTGCTCTGGTTTTCTTCATGCATGTGCTGTGGTGATTGAGGAGCCTGTGCATGGAATCAGCAATTCCAACATGTGACCTTTTAGTGCAGTTTTCTGTATTCCTTACCAGCCTAACAGATGGACATTTACTTAATGAAAGTATCATTTGTACTGACTGCCTAACATGGCATAATCTACCTTTACCCAGAAAATAAATAAGTGTCCAGGCATCTTGCTGGAATGATCCCCTTGATAATGAAGCTTCTCTGATTTTTGTATACTGCTTGTATACTAGTTTTAGCCAGGAGAGAACACTAATTCTTTTGTTCTGGTTGCCTTACCAGATTTTACCTTACTCCTTAGTTCACCACACTGACTCTTTCCTCTTAATGCAATGAAAATTCACTCTGCCTTCAAGTCCCTGACATTCTTTTAGCCTCCATAGAGTTTGTCCATCATATCTCACTTTTCTTCACCCCTGCAAGGGTTTCCAGGTATAAGGGCTCACTGGACTGTGAAACTTGGAGAAGGCCACTGCATAAAGTAGTATATTGCGTTGTGTACAGGATTTCTGTTTCCTGCTCTCGACAAGGGCTGGTGGCCTGGGAATCAATTTGGCTTCAGCGGACACAGTCGTCATCTTTGACTCGGACTGGAACCCCCAGAACGACCTGCAGGCACAAGCCCGAGCCCATAGAATTGGTCAGAAGAAGCAGGTCAGTGGGGAGATACTTCTGCTGTGGTTTGTGGAAAGGGGGGAGTTACTTAGCCCTGTCAGTATGTTTGTAAAATGCTTCTTTTCCTGTTTTGCTTTATGTCCCCAAGAGTGAATGTCTATTTTTTAATTAGCACAGAGAAGATGTTTTCTGGGACTAAGGTGAACCTATTAAACAAAACTATTCTCTTTTTCTGTTTGACAAGTACGTCATTGATTTTCTGGTCTACTCCAAGAAAGAGATTATGATGAATAGACTTAAAACTGAAAGTTTTCACAGTTTAGCACAAAGAAGTTAAATATTCTAATATTGTTCAGGATGGTCTATTTTTTTAAAAATTCATTTTATTATCATTAATCTACAATTACATGAAGAACATTATGGTTACTAGACTCCCCCTTCACCAGGTCCCTCCTCACAAACCCCATTACAGTCACTGTCCATCAGCGTAGGTAAGATGCTGTAGACTCACTACTTGTCTTCTCTGTGTTGCACAGCCCTCCCCGTGCCCCCCTCCACATTATACATGCTAATCGTGAGGCCCCCTTTCTTTTTCCCTGCCCTTATCCCTCCCTTCCCACCCCTCCTGCCCAGTCCCTTTCCCTTTGGTAACCGTTAGTCCATTGGGTTCCGTGATTCTGCTGCTGTTTTGTCAGGATGGTCTATTTTTATTAGACATTAATGGTGTTAGCTCTGAGGTATGTTGGAAAAATACATGCCTGTTTCCTTTGTATATGAATTTAAAAGTCTGCTCTAGTTCTTAAGTTTCATACTTGGCCAGAGATTCAGTTATTGGTGAAACTTTGCATCAGCAAAACTGCTTATTCTTTAGCAAGGTTTTTATTATTAGAATTAAGGCCATAATTACAATTCTTGAGTGGCAGTTTTGTTTAAGATTGTAACCTACTGCAGATAGTAAAAATCTTGCTTCTCCTTAAGCTGCCTATTTGGATGGGTGGCTTACAGTCATTTATGATAGTAGAGAGTAAATCTTTTTTTGTTTCTCTTCTTGGTTTTAGACAGAGGTAACTTTTTTTTCTTTCGTGATCAGACATAAGCATAACATTTCTTTCTCTTACAGGTTAATATTTACCGCTTAGTTACAAAGGGGACCGTGGAGGAGGAGATCATAGAACGGGCCAAAAAGAAGATGGTATTGGACCATCTGGTGATTCAGCGCATGGATACAACTGGCCGAACGGTCCTGGAGAACAACTCGGGAAGGTCCAAGTAAGTGCGCGAAAGAAGGGGGAAGTGGACAGAGTTAAACTGATTTTATACTAACATTTGATAGAGTTATCATTCTAATAGGATTCTCTACAACTCTCATTATCCATTAATTACCTAGAAATGGCCAGGCCAAGACCACAGAAAGGTGGCATTTTCATTTTGTTTTCCCTGCTTCTTCTTTCTTCTTGATCCTTTGTTTGCCTCTCATCCTTCTGCGTGTGTGTGCTGTCCCTCTCTCTCTTGCTCCTCTTCCCTGTCTTTCACTTTTGGCTCTACATGTGACATGATGCAGCAGCAGTGGCCAGCTGTGTGCTCCCCCGTTAGGCCTTCGACCATGCACAGCGTTGCCTTGGACATGTCAGCCACAAGAATCCACCAGACTGAGCTGGCAGCTGGTGTCTTACTATTGGTAAAAATGTTGTGTGTGGAGGTTGTTGTTTTTCCTGTGGGAAGTTGGCTTTATTTGGAAGCACAACTACATCTATAGAGTTTACATTTTAACCAAACTGTTGAGTGCCTTCTGTGCAAGTCCTGCAGCTGAACCAAATGAGCCCTTCCTAAAAAACATATTTCCAGGTAATTTCTTATTCAAGAGGAACCTAGATGGAGGAAGCTTGGTTCTTTGATTTTGAGGTGAAAAGGCTGAAAATTCTTTGTGAATGCTAACTTTCTGAGTCAAAGGACAAAGAGAAAAAAACTCTCCTTTTTTATGTTAATTATCCTTCTTGCTTAACCATGTAATAGATGAACTGCCAGAAAAATAATTGATTTCCTAGTCTTGTACTAGGTTAGGCTTACCAACATAGACTCACCTTGTGGACTGAAAAAACAAGTATTTGAGAGATCTTTTTTATTGGGGCAGAATTTATATTTTCACCAGTTAATTTGATCCTTTAAGGATAGCTATTCTATAATAGAACTCCATAAAGGTCATTTGATATTCCTAAGCAATTACAACAACATTTTACTTCTATAGCTCGAATCCTTTTAATAAAGAAGAGCTAACAGCTATTTTGAAGTTTGGAGCAGAGGATCTCTTCAAAGAACTTGAAGGGGAGGAGTCAGAGCCTCAGGTAATCAACAGTGAGGAAAAAGTTTTTTGACAAGTATTATCTGTGAGAGTCTTTTTCTGAAAGCAGATTCTGAGTCTGTTCAGAGGCCTTTACAAACAAATAGTAATTACCTAAAAGGGCATAGTTTCTCTCCTTTTTAATAGAGCTCAAAGCTCTTATTAACAGAATAGGAAAGAATGAGAAAAGCATTTGAGGATTCTGTCTTAGTCTTCTTTACTCCAGTTTTTTTGCTTGTAATGTCTGACGTTTTGCCTTGTCATTTAACTAAATATGGGTTTGAAGCATTAGATATAGAGGATATAAACCCAAGTACTATAAAAGTAAATGGAGTATCAAAAAGGAGATTTGTTTATTTGCACCAAACATTTTCAGAAAATGCTGATCACTGTTGCCTTTTTATCATACTTGTATTGCTTGAATTCCTTTAGGAAATGGATATAGATGAAATTTTGCGCTTGGCTGAAACTAGAGAGAACGAAGTATCAACAAGTGCGACAGATGAACTTCTGTCACAGTTTAAGGTACACAAGTCAGTGTGAGAGAAAGTCCTCCGCATTGGTTCATTAACTAATAACAACTAATGTCTGTGGGAACTTGCTCTGTGCAAGGCTCTCTACTTTTTCCTTTACCTAAATTGATTCATATCTTCAGTATCATTCTCTTGAGTTAAGTATGTTGTGAGTTTAGGCTGAGTCTCTCTGTGAGGGTAAGCACTCAGGTGGTCCATCCTGCCAGAGTCAGTGGCAGAGAACACGAAGGTGGTGAAGAAGGCTGAGAATGTGCATCAGTGGGTTAGGTGGAGAGCCAGGTGGTGGGGAGCTCTGGGATGTGTAGTGGGGATGTGGGAGACATAAGTAGTTAGATGATAAAGGGAGTAAAGGTAAAAAAGAGAAAGTGACAGAATGCTTGATGACTTGGTGAGATTTTTTTTTAAGGTGGTGATTAAGGGTGGTAGTCAAATTAAGCAAAACAAAACTAAATGAGATCAGGACTAAATGCAGAAGCCGAGCACCGGATGAATAGGAGGTGACAGTATTGAATGTAGACATCATTTAAAAGTTTATGAAGAGTATAGTGAAGGTAATTTATGAGGATAGAAGGGTAGAGCAAGGCAGTGTTTTTGAAAGGTGTTCATGTCCCTGTGTTGAGAAAAGAATTTGAGAATAAGGAGATACTGAAGGTTCTAAGAAAAGAAGGAAAATTTGGTGGCACATTACCTTAGAGATTAGAAGGGATATAATCAAAAGGACAAATGAAGGAGTTGGCCTTTGGAAGAAAAAGGAAATTATACTTTAGGCAGCAAGAGGGGAAAGAAGATGTGGGAGTTCCAGTTGGTGACTTAATTACCAGGAAAGTAAGTGAGGTGTTTGCTGAGAAGTGGAAATGATTTGGGATAACTGTTAGTGGGGCTAGGAGTTGCAGAAAAGAGCTTGATAGGGAGTGAGCTGAATTTAGATGATAGGGCTTTACATTGGAGCCAGTCATCAGGGTCATATGACTTTGTCCAGCAATACTTGAGGTCAGAGAAATTGGACCAGTTGGTGATACCAAGGTGGAAGATTGGCTTTGGGAGGCATAGGAGAGTAAAAAAGTTTGGTTTCCCAGATTTGTGGTGAGAACTTGGTTGGAAGGATTGACCATGGGTTGGTTCCATGCAGGTTAGAAAAGTAGAGGAGCCCTGAAGGTTTCAGTGATGGTTAAAACATGGTAGAACCTTCAGGGTTGAGGGAGAAATGAGCAGGTGAAGTGTTCGGAAGGAAGCAGTATTACGTGGTGAGGTCCAAGGTGGGCCACAGACAGACTTTGTCTCAGTCGAAGAACAGTGAAGGAATCGAGTGGATCAGAGAGCTCCAGGATCAGAGTAAATGTGTCTGAGGATGAAGGTGAATCTACTGTTTCAGCTGGATTCCACTTCTGTGACTACTGTTCCTTTCTTAAACAGAAGTAATCTTCATGATGGTATCTTGGTTAGAAGATTTATTGTGTGATTATTTAGATATAAAAATTTACACATACTATTGGTTAATCAAAAGTGGTCAGCACATGACTGGTGACTCTTGACTTTCTTAAGCCCTTTGGCTATTATGAGTCAACACCTGGTCAGGTGGTTTGATCAATGGTAGAAGTCTGCTTGCTCTAGTGGCTCTATTTTTGGAGTGCTTCAGAGTTGAATTGATTTTATTTTTCCTGATAATCTTTTATCAGGAGTATTAACATCATGTGATAGCGCAGCACACATTTTTTGAGATAACTTAAGGTTACCATTTTCTTAAGTAATAATAACCAATACTTGTGTAACTTTTACTGTGTATACTTCAAGCATTGTTTTAAGTATTTTACATATATTAACTGCTTTGGTCCTTAAAACAATCTTATGATGAACCAGGTATTAGTTCATTTATAGATGAGGAAACTGAGAACAGAGAGTCTACTTAGATTTCCTAAGGTCACAGAGATACAGAGTTTTGATTATATCCTGGCCTCTGACCACTGTGCACTCTTGGAAAAGTTAAATTCCCAACTGGGTGAATCACCAGCATATATATGCATTTATGTCAGTTTAATATTATTTTCATCTGACTCTTTTGAAAGTCAGATCTAAAGTAATTACAGACAGTCCTTAATTTAAGAGATAGGTTAACCAGATGATTCTTATAAAACAGGAAAATGTTAAATTTTCAATCTAAGAAATTTATATCTCTTGTTTTGTCTTGGAATTTATTTAACAAATATGATTGTGAAGATCATGATACCCATGTTGGAAGTTAGAGTTAATTCATAATTTTGTTCATAAGACAAAGTTCTGACTTCACTGTCAGCTGCAGGTGACTTTGAGGAATGGAACCTCAAATACTCTGCATAGGAGGTGGTAAGGAATAAAGAGAATGTGGGGCCCAGGCCTGGGGCATGCCTACTATGCTCAGAGGCGGGGCCAAAGCTGGTGTGTGTTTCAGTGTAGCCATAATCTTCAAAATGTATACATTTAGATGATTTTTTTTTTCCTGGGATACACATATTATTTCAGTACAAATAGGTAACATATTAAATATTTGATATGATATAAACAGAATATTCTTTCAGGTTTATTTGAGGTTTTTGTGTTTTACATTCTCATTTTCATTCCTAAGACTAAAGTGCACTTCTAAGTATATGAAATCAGTACATACTTTTAGCTTTTATACTTCTGATGAAAATGAATAAGGTAATTAGTTGGCTAGATGATAGCTGGTGCTTTGTGTTTCTGTGTTGTTTGACATGAGCTCTATTCAGTAACAGTTTCAACTTACAGAACTGTTAATGGACTGGTATTAGGTATTCAGCATTTTATAATCTACACAAATCTAAGTTTTCCACTTAGAATCATGTTTATTGAAAAATGTGTATGATTTAACAACAAATCTTTCAATAGAACTTTTACAAGACAATTTATGTCTGTGTGTGTTTACCTACTTTTCAGTAAAATTTCTGATGAACTTGAAGGTTTGGCAAGTGGGTTTTGAGAGGGTAAGGGGAAGAAGATTAGTAGGAAATCGGTTACCTGATTATGTAATACCACAGAGTTCTTATATTTATAGCCTCTAACTTAAAAATACTGGTTGAGTTGGTAGTTTAGTAGAAGGTGTTTGGGAAATAGGGAAATGACAGTCAGATACGGGTTGTCCATTTGTTTTAAGGTTGCCAACTTTGCAACAATGGAAGATGAAGAAGAACTAGAGGAGCGTCCTCACAAGGACTGGGATGAGATCATCCCAGAGGAGCAAAGGAGAAAAGTAGAGGAGGAAGAGCGGCAGAAGGAACTGGAAGAAATTTATATGCTGCCTCGAATTAGGAGTTCCACTAAAAAGGTGATCAAGTGATATGAAAGTTTTCGTGCCATAAAAGCTATAGAAGTGCTGTTCGAAGAAGAGGCCTTGTAGCTTTGCCTTAACATGGCAGAGATATTCTGTAGGAAACCTAGCGGATGAAAATAGAAAAAAAAACGCACGTGGTCCATGAGCACATCTGTGAGACATTTGACCTTTGGCTCTTTGTGTGATGGCTGAATGGGATTTAAGTTGGACAAATTTGCATTTTGCCGTTGAGATTAAAACCAGTAATGCTAACAATTTGGTTCTAATTGGCAATGCTGTTGTCTTTTAGAAAATCAGACCTTTCTGCCTTTTAAGTTTATTCACTTGGTATAGGTACTTAATTAGAGACAATATAACTGTAAACAAAGTACATGGAGAGTATTCAGTTTACAAAACATCACAGGTGCTATTTGATTAAAAAAAATTTTTTTTTGTATTTTATTATTAAAATATCATTGATATAGAGTCTTATGAAGGTTTCACATGAAGAACAATGTGGTTATTACATTCACCCATATTATCGAGTCCCCTCCCATACCTCATTGCAGTCACTGTCCATCAGTGTAGTAAGATGCCAGAGTCACTCCTTGTCTTCTCTGTCCTACACTGTCTTCCCCATGACCACTGCCCCCCCACCACACCATAATACTCCTCAATCCCTTTCTCCCTCCCTCCCCACCACCTTCCCCTACCCCTCCTCTTTGGTAACTGCTAGTTCCTTCTTTGAGTTTGTGAGTCTGCTGCTATTTGTTCTTAGTCTTGCTTCATGTGCTATTTGATTTTTGCAGCAACACTGAAGTAGGTAAAGTAAGTGTTACTTATCCAGTTTGTTGGAGATAGTAGACTCAGATTTTCCATGATTATAGCAAATCAGTATTAGCTAATAGCCTCCAGTGATTGACCACTTTTCCAGGTGATTTTACATCTACTGACTCGTTTAATCCTTATATGAAAGCTCTATATTATAGGAACTGTTATCCCCATTTTACAAATGGAAAACAAAGGCACAGAGAGGTAAAGTAACTTGCCCAAGGAAGAAAACATGAACCTACAATTCACATATTTTTATTACAGTTCACTTATCATTATGTAACAGTATGTCTCTGGAAGCTTGAGTATCCCAAGTACATCTTCCTTCATTACATGATAGCTGCCTCCTATTTCATAAAGGAAGATTGACTTGTCTGATGCCATGGGAAGTTCTGGGTACCAGAGTATTCAGATGGGCTTGTCTTAGTCCTTATTAGACCTCTTGAACCTGGCATTTGCTACAGTGTGACTTTCCCTTTCCAGGCTCAGACAAATGACAGTGACTCTGACACTGAGTCTAAGAGGCAGGCGCAGAGATCCTCTGCCTCTGAAAGCGAGACCGATGACTCTGATGATGACAAGAAGCCAAAGCGCAGAGGGCGCCCCCGAAGTGTGCGGAAGGACCTCGTAGAGGGATTTACTGATGCGGAAATTCGAAGGTTGGTGGAGGCTCTGCTCTCTCTTGGGCTCTTTGGAAGGGCCTGCCGTGAGCCTCTTGCTGATTGGATTCCTGGCATTTCTGAGGGTGGGTGGAGGGCTAAGACCTGAAGGGAAGGCGAGAGATCGAGTCGTACCCCTAGTCTCCAGGATGAATCTTCCTTGTCATGTTTTCCTCAGTTGAGCTCTGTTGTTTGTTGCTTTTTTTTTTGGTTTCTTTCCTGATCTCTGATTATTCTGAGCATTTTCACAAAGCCCAACTGAGAAAAAAGAGACAATTGGAGGTAAATTTGGGAGGAAACTTTCTGTTGTTGTTTTTATTCAAGATCATGAATACATGGCATGCATACACACATATATATGTACATATGTATCTACATATAAAAGAAATACTGTTGAGTATAAAAAATTAAGTGGTACAGATACTGCTACTTCACACACCCCATCTCCCCAAGTCTACTTCCCATCAGTGTGAATGCTGATGCCAGTTTGATGGTGGCTTGGTTTTTAGTAGTATAAACAATATAACGTTCTGCAGCTTGCTCTATTTCACTAGTAATCAATTTTAGACATCTTCCTATGTCACTACTCACTGCGCATTTGTTGGTGGCTGATTTACATTTCTCTGTCCTCCAGAAAAAGATATCTAAAATTGCTACTTCTAAAGCCATTTTTTCATGATATTTTTTAAGCCAAATCTTTAAAAAGGCTGAACAAAATAGAAAGTATGAAGATAGCTTTGTGGTCCAATCCATATTAAAAAGGCTGTTATATCAGATAGCCCTTTTAGGTAAATATATTTGAAACACTTTCCCCTAAGTGTTATACTTGTTCTTCTTTCTTTGTTTAATTTATTATGGAAAAATATAAATATATACAGGCATTGACAGGATAGAATATATGCCGTCTCCCCGATACTTGGGTCGCGGTCTCCAGCATCTTGATCCCGCAGCCGCTCCGGCGCGCGGCTACTTCCCCTTGCCGCCTTCTGTCGGTGTGACTCCGAGAACTTACTCAGCTGTCCTCAAGCTGCTACTTCTTCACGTGGATCTGAGTTGCTGTTTGGTGTCCTTGTGTTTCTGCCTGAAGGACTCCTCAGTATTTCTTTTAGGGCAGGTCCGCTAGCAACAAAGTCTCTATTTTTGTTCACCTGGAAATGTCTTAACTCTCCTGTTTGTGAAGCATAGTTTTCATTCTTTTTCAGTCCAAATTCTGGACTTCCTCAGGGATTATTTCCATTGACTGCTTCCCCCCGCCCCCCTTCTTTGTATATGGACCACACTTTCTTGTTTCTTGTGTTACCCGTAATTTTTTGTTGAAAACTGGGCATCTTACGTAATAGATTGGCAAATCTGAAAACCAGATTCTTCCTGTCAGTCAGAGTTGGTTGTATTTACTTGTTTGCTTCTTTAGTAACTTCCCTGGACTAGTTCTGTGAAGTCTGTATTCTTTGCCATGTCATCTGAAGTATTTTCTCATTTAACTTAGTGTCAGTTAAGGATTGAACGGAGATTTCCTTAAATGCCTTGAGCCAGGAACCTACCAGCCTTTGCTGAAGGGCTGTGTTCGTTGTGGCTTGTTTTCAAGGCTTCGTGTTTTAAGGCAGTGTACAGCTCTGCTTTATCATTCAGTTCCTGCTTGCACAGAGCTTTAAGGCCAGCCAGAGGTGATACATGAATTATTCCTGAGGTCTCTCCTGTGCTTGCTCATAGCTGTGCACATGAACAGTCTGACAGATTCTCAGGAATATGTCAGCTTTTCAAAGCCCCCTATGGGACATCAGTTTTTCCTTTTCATCTTTTAGTCATCCTGTTGATATCTCTATCTGGTAGAGCCATGTCAATGTGCACAGCTGTGAGCAAGCACAGGACAGACCTGTTAAACCTCTGCCTCTGATCGTTTTGACCAGTGAGCTGTGAGCAGTGCTCCGCATACACAGCCAAATGGAGACAAGCCCGAGAGTGGAGTGCTTCAGGGTGCTATCAGGCAGGTCAGAAAGCACTGTTCGCCGATAAAGAGTTTGGGGGAAGCTCTAAAACCATTGTTTACCCTCCAGGGGCACGCTGCAGCTTTGCACAACTGCTGTAGTTGGAAGGGTGTTGGCTTTCAAGGCAGTTGAGCATTGGATTAGAGCAAATTAAAATGACAGAACTCACCGTTCTTACTGAGATTCAGCCGTTTTCTTGAGAAAGTGCTTCTTAGATGGTTGTTAAGACTTTGGTTAATTTCTAGAGTTCCAACAAAGTTGATTTTGACAATTTTTGCCATTGTTCTTGTTGCCTTTATGGAGAAGCAAATTTTCAGAGGTTCCTAACTCCATCATTGTAGAAATCCGTCTCCTCTCAGTATTATTTTGAAGTAAATCTCAGATATCATATTATTATGTACATAAAATATTTCAGTACACATTAAGAAGGAGAAATGTAGAGTTGAGGAATAATCCTCAGGTTCACTTTCACATATAACACTTTCCTAATCCTTGTATCCATGCTGTTCCTTTAATATTGTTTCTTAGCTATTATCATATTCATATTCATGTTCTTCAATTGCCATGTCCTCTATTTTCATTCCCCCCCCTTACATTGTTATACAGTATCTCCCCTTACAATGTTACCTAACCAGATGATTTTAATAATTTGGCATGTTATAGTGATGCCTGTTGATGTATCATGGACATCTTGCTGTTTAGAAAGTGCTGATGGTTTAGCTTACCAGTTTCAAAGACATTCAACAGTGGTTCATTTAATGGCAAGGTTTGGGTCCAATCCATTTTTGACAATGTGCATGGCTCATATTTCATCACAGGATATGTCTGCATTAACATAACTAAGTCTGTTTTTTAAATGTGTTTTGTTGATATATTCATAGGTTCATCAAGGCATATAAGAAGTTTGGTCTCCCTCTTGAACGGTAAGCTCCTTATACATCTTTTTTTCACTTTCATTATACATTGTCATTTTTTGGGTACTGTTACTTACCCATTTAATACTAATGCTGGGGACAATTTTTTTCCCGGAAACATTCTTTTACAAATATTTATTTATTGTGTGATTGTGCATGTCCCTTTGTGGGGAGGGATGACAAAGATGACTGGCTATACAGAGATTTTACCTGAATGGGATATGAAGAAGTACATTCCAGATATAGTACAGAGAACAAATGTCCAGATAATTCCGTTTGAGAAATGTGTAGTTAGTGTGCATTCTAGTTCTTAGATTTAATCATGTCAAAGATAAAAGACTTTTTGTGATTTTAGAGTCTTCTACTTTTTAAAGGATTAATTGTTGCTAGGTTTAACTGAAAAAAGAGTTAACACCTTGTCAGTAGTAACTTTGGAAGGGTCATTACAATTTTACAGTCATTTAGAAAATAAATTCAGAAGTTGGATTTTTAACAAAAGACTATTTCATCTAGTTTAGCGTTTTGTACAAAATTAGCAATCTATCCTCTAAATAATAGTACTGACTTAAAGGAGGTACCAGGTTCCTTTCTCTTACTCCTGAGTTTCTGGAGCAGATGAAAATGACAAGCCTCTGTGCTTTGTTTTGTCCTCTCCACTTGGGGATGAAGTAGCGATGTGTAGCAGTAGCAACCTTGAAACTGAGAAAGGTGCATCTTTCCAGGACTTGCTGACCACCCAGGGTAGAATGCCTTTCAGCGACTTACCATCAACACCACAGGGTCTGGCACCTTTTGACAGCCTGATTTTTAAAAATTAACATATGCACATGCTCCATATGACTTGGAGATAAATGAAACATATTGTAAAAGAAACTAACTTGCTTCTAAGAATATTGCAATGAATTCAAGTAGGCTGGAGAAAGGAAGTTGAGCGAGCACAATAGTGCTAAGGCTTTCTGGCACTTCACCTGCTATGTTACCAGACAGCCCATTTAGTTAGTAAAGAAAGCTGGCCTCTGTCGCCTCTGGCTTTTGAAGTTACTTTTTTTTGTGGACTGTTCCAAGGCACACTTCTTTATGGTGAAAATGAGTAAGTTAGCTCTCAGTCATTGTTGGAGGGTTTTTGTAGGAACCTTGAATGATCAATACAGGAGTATATAAAAAAGTGTGCAGGAGCAAGCTTATATGAGACCAGGTGGTAATCTCATGTGACATTAGAAAAGTGGGCCCTGGGCCCTGAAGTGTCCCCATATTTGTCCCTCCTCAGGCTGGAGTGCATAGCACGTGATGCTGAGCTGGTAGATAAGTCTGTAGCAGATCTGAAACGCCTGGGTGAACTGATCCACAACAGCTGTGTTTCAGCGATGCAGGAGTATGAAGACCAGCTGAAAGAGAACGCCAGCGGGGGTGAGTCAGCGAGTCTTCCTTCAGTGGTTCTCCCGAACTTAGCACTTGGCGGGCTGAGGTTTCTGCTAAAGCTGCTAATGGGCTTTTTGTTTTTTAAGAAGAACAGGCTCATATCATGCATCCCTCATCCTTTGAGGTGCGTAATCTGACCAGCCTTTATGTGAGCTAACATAAAACGCATAGTGTTTTTACAACTGAACTACTCACAAATGAAGTTTATTTTCAGGAGGTAGAGAGTAATGAACAAGATGGACATGTTCTTTTTATGTTGCTTAGAAAGTTTCAATTGGTTTGAATGCTATAAAGACCCAAGTGGCAAAGCTGAGCAGGCACATCTGTCTTTTGGCTACAAGTGAGAACATTATAGACCCACAAGCACTAGTGATTATCTTGGATGTACATATACATATTGTGTTGTGACAAAGTTAAAGGCATTTAGAGAACTAATTGGAATAAATAAAATGTTGGATGAATATTGTAAATGTTTTTGTAACAGTGAGATTTTCATGGCACTTGAGTTTGTTATAACTGGAGTTGACCTGTAGTGCGTTTTCTCTAGACACCAGAAAGTGTTCTTGTCTGTCCTTCAAAGCAGAAGGTGTTGGGAGGCTTATGAGGAAAGAGCTCTGAAGTGTGATTGTTAACAGGACAATGCCATAGTTGAACCTGATAGGGCAGGGGAGTGCTGTCTTTCTGGGTCACTGGGCTGTGTGGTGGATCTGTGCCATTTCCCTCCTCCTTCGGTCACCCTCCACTGTGATAGCCATGGTTCCCAGGAGGCTGTGGTTAAGTGTTCAGCCCTGGATGCAGCCAGTTTACCTGGAATCTGGCTCTGCCATTTAAGTACAAGACCCAATAGAAATCCTCCTTTTGATGGTCTCATTTGCAAAATGGAGTACTAGTCCTGAAAAGGGTTTGGATGGTGCCTGAGTAATTCCATACGTGTTAAGTGCTTAACATGGCATGTGCCTTGCAGTGTTAGCTATTTAAGTAAAGAGGTATTTGTGCATTGAAAATGCAAGGATATTATTGGAGGTAGAATTTAAAAACATCTTAAATACAGTCCAAGTTGCGTTAATGCATTTTCATTTTTTGTAGTAAAAGAAACTTAAATAACTTAAGCAGCTTGGACAATGATCTGAATATGTGCTTTCATAGCACCCAAATACACCCAAAAGTAAACCTCAAGCTTATGGTGTCTCTTTTCATTACAATTGCTTTGAATAAGCATTATATTCTCATGGCTCAAAAATGAGAAACAGGTGTCCCTATTTCTTGTCTCTAGGAGCATAAAAATACATATATACAAAAATGAATAATATTTTTCTCCTAACACAACTGGCAGTGCAGCCTGCACACTGTCTGTCCCTCGCGTTTTCTGTGTCATGATGTATTTTGGAGTCATTCCTTGTAACAGTCCCCTCCCTCCCATATCCCTCTTTGTTCTGCATGTTCACCGTTATTTTGATTGTGTCCTCCTGGCATTGCTTGTTTCCCATACCTGCATTTCCTGTGAATTAGTATTTGTTAGCATAGTCTGAGTCCAGCTGACATTTCCAATTCAAATGAAAGATTGTTGATATCTCTTTTCTTAAACTGATCAGTTTTGTTCCTGAAAATGTAGATATATTTATGTACTTGTCTTATCTATGTTATACATGGGGGATATCAATACCATTCTTATTGTTAACTGTAGGATGACTTAATATAAAGCTTGAGTTCTTTGCATTTCTTTTTGTTCTTAGAATATATCCTACTAGTGATGAGCAGTCAAAATACTGTTTTAAAATTATGAAGTTACTTTTCTCTTTGTGGTTATGCCACAACTTAATATGTAGTAGAGTAATTTTCATTTATTTTCAAATTTTAGCGATTGCTTTTCTCCTTTTAATTTAACTTTCTCTTTCTAGTTATGTAAAACATTTGCATGGTCCAAATTCAAAACTATAAAACAAAGTACATTTAGAAAATCTTGCTTTTTCATGTCAGTGTTCCAGTCTTGTTTTCTTCCGCTCCTATAGGTAACCATTTCTATTAGTTTTGCATTTATCTTTCCATTCTTTCTTCCTAACAGTGTGTATATCCCCTCTTGTATAGAAGAAGGTACTCTGTATTCTGTTCCGTATCTCCTTATTTTCACATATGGAGATCACTCCTTATCATGATGTAGAGACCATCTCTCCTTCCTTCTACAATTGCAGTGTTCCACTTTGTAGATAGGTGTTAACTCAGACTTTAGCGTTCCCTAGTAATGAATACCTGGGTTGTTTTTGATCTTTTGCCATTATATAGCCAGACAATGACTAAATTGTCTGATGAATATAGTATTTCATATCTCTGTCAGCATATCTTTGGGAAAGATTTCTAGAAGTGGAATTTCTGGGCCCCAGTGAGGATGCATATGTAATTTTGTTAGATATTGCCAAATTCTCCTCCATTAGTCTGATACCATTTGCATTGCCACCAGCAATCTATATTGGTACTGTCTACAAGCCTCACAAACAGAATGTATAGTCAAATGTTTAGATTTTTGCCAAATTGATGGGTGGGAACTGGTATCTCATTTTTCCTTTTAATGATCAAGGTTATATGTCTTTTCTGAGGGCCATTTGTGAACTATTCATGTACTTTGCCCATTTTCTATGAACTTTTAGTCTTCATTTGTAGGATCTCCCTTTTTGTTGTGATTTTTCATTTTACTTTGCTTATGGCATTTTAAGAAAACAAAAAATAAATTCTTATATAGTCAAATTTTTCAGTCTGTTACCATATTGTGTTTTGGATTTTGAATCCTTTAGAAACATTATCTCTGCTCTCAGGATGTAAAGGAATTCACTGATATTTTCCCCTTGCGTTATTTCATTTACTTTTATAACTCTGATCCACTTGGGAATTTTCCTGATGTATCCATTTTATTTATTTATTTTGTATATGGCTACTGTATTCTCAGTACATTATTAAAAATGATTCACCTTTTTCCCACTGCCTGATTTTTGAAGAGATACATAATCTGTTATGGATGTATTAGTGTCCTGTTAATGGGCATTAAGCTTTCTAAGCTTTTGCTCTACAGTGTTGTGGTGAGTCATTTTGTATGTGTTCTGTTTTGTACCATACCCTCTTACCAGCATTGAATGAGTATCTGTTTCCTCTCAGTCTCACCAACGTTTTCAAATTTTTGAGTTTTTGTGACCTGATAGGTTATGAATAGTATGTGTCTATTTAATTTGCATTTCTCTTACCATGAGTGAGGTTGAATATTTTTCACATGTTTAGGAATCATTTGTATTTACTTTTCTGTGAATTATCGCTGTATCCTTTGCCCATTTTTCTATGGCAGTCCTTTTATTTTACAGATGAGGAAACAGACCCAGAGAGATTAATAGCTGTAACAGTGAGAGGGGGAAAGAGAAGGGGTAGTTTGTGCAGATTTGGGATTAAGTCCCAGATTTCTGATTTTTAGAGAAATGCCTTTCCTATTTTAACACATTCTGTTCCAGCTCTCATCAGTATTGTTGGGAATGGCATTTGTGTGAAATTCTGGTGGATTACATGAGACTCTTTAAATAATTGTATATAATTGTAGTGCCATTTCATTGACTTAAATGTTTCTAAAAAAAGGAATCATTTTCTCAGGCTATCAGCCATCTTTCCTCTCACAGTCAAGTGGCATCTCATGGATTTCCTTAGACTCTGGTTAGAGTTGACTAGTTTCTTTTTTTTTACCTCTGTGATGATTTTAATTTCAAACTAGGGCTAGAATAACTTTCCCTGACACCTGTTCATCATTTCAATTTGTATTAACTTGATCTCTTTATTAATAGAGAAGATCATCTTTAAAACACTTGAATTTTTGAACTGTGTGAATGGGATTAGTTAGAAAACAAAAGAAAAAAATTAAGCAATAAAATTCCTTCGGAATCTTCTTTTGTTAATTTTATTACTTTTAGAAACAAAGTATAAAACAAGCAGGAAGATTAAAATACAATTAAATACCAGTGAATAAAAAAAAGTCCTAAATATTAAAAGACCGAATTGTTTATAGAGGGTTTTTAATGAACATTGACTAATTTTTTATGCTGTGCAGATTATATCTTTGAACTAACAGTAAGCCAGAGATATGTTTTAAGGGAGTAAGTATTTAGTATTTGCTGAAATATGTTTTCTGTGGACCTTTAGCAAAATCTCATTTCACTAATGTGAAATTGGTATTCTTCAGGGAAAGGACCAGGGAAAAAGAGAGGCCCAACAATCAAGATATCTGGGGTTCAGGTCAATGTGAAATCTATTATCCAACATGAGGAAGAGTTTGAGATGCTGCATAAATCTATCCCTGTGGACCCTGAAGAAAAAAAAAAGTGAGTGTATTCTGTGCATGTGCGTGGGCAGTCGTGCTGTGAGAAAGTAGATTTGAAGTTACAGTGATGTGTAGTCATGTAGCGATTCCATTGTCTTTTCTTCAGCCTGTCAGAATACTTTGTCCATAATTAATTTGTGTTCATTTCCGAATCAAAAAGGCCCCTCCACTGATGTCCTCCTGCTTTTGAAATCCCTTTAGATACTGCTTAACCTGTCGTGTCAAAGCTGCACATTTCGATGTCGAGTGGGGAGTGGAGGATGATTCTCGCCTGTTGCTGGGCATTTATGAGCATGGCTATGGGAACTGGGAGTTAATTAAAACGGATCCAGAGCTCAAGTTAACTGACAAAGTAAGTATCTCTGTGATGTTGGAGATTCCTTGGAGGATCTGTTATATAATATTTTTATATTGATTACTTATTTTTAACTGTTTTCTGGGAGGTGGGGGACCAAACTGGAGAGTAGTACAATGGTAAATTCCTGGGATTTCTTTAATTTTTTTTATATTTGGAAATGTTACCATCTTTATTAGACTCTGGCACTGTTGAATAGATGAAGATAATAGCCAGGTGAAATTTTGGGGAAATTATAGGAAAAATCTTAAAATTCTTACTATACATCAAATCTCATTGCAACAAATACCAGGGTGAGATTATTAATAATAAAAGTATTTCCTGGCCTTTGTTTAAAACTATTTGAAACAACTGTGTTTCACTTCTACGCACAGAGGAAGAATGATACATGCCTTGGTATTTTTTGTAATGGAATCAAATATTGGCTGTACTTCTCCCACAAAATTGAGCCTCCCAGTATGTGTGTTGCAAATCAGGCTACCAAATAGTAAGGCCGTGCTCAGAGCTGTAAGCAGGGAAAGCTGACTGGCTCCAATTTCAGTAGGATGCTCTCCATGCTGTGCTCCTGGCAGGGCTTTTCCTGGCACGTCAAACAACGCTCATCCCATGTATGATGTTTTAAGAGGGTGACAGCACCCTGCCCTAAGCACTGAGACCAGTCAGATCCAGTCTGGCCTGAGAGGTCCAGCTGTCGCAGCAGGGACGGATTGTGTCCCGGCGCGGCTCAGTGCTCTCCGGCAATGCTCTAAGAAGCATTTTCAATCTGAAACAAAGCTTTGACCTAGCTCCAGGGATTCCCTGCTCCTGGAAGGAGGAAATCCACGACGGCCGGGATGCTCTAGCAGAGGAAGCCAACAAGCCCCTCCTACCTGAGTTGTTCTACCCTGTTAACAGCACAGGTAGGAGCCAGTGGGAGAGCTGGATTTTTCCATCCCATTTTGTAAAATGAGACGGCTCGTAAGGGATTTTCAGTGACTGGGAACCATGGACATGAGATAGGATCTGAGGCTTTATCTGTATTTTGGGTGGTTGGGGAGGGAAAGGTCTGCTCAGTTCTGTTGTCTCTGTTTATCCTGATCCACTAACCGGGATGTGGGTGGTGACGGGTGCTTCTCTTCTTTCCTGTTGAAGATTCTGCCTGTGGAGACGGATAAAAAGCCTCAGGGGAAGCAGCTACAGACCCGAGCCGATTACCTGCTGAAACTGCTCAGGAAGAGTCTGGAGAAGAAGGGGGCTGTGGCAGGTGGGGAGGAGGTGAGTATAGCTTTCCACTGGGTGTCCTTCAGGGGAGCTGCAGCTCCAGCCTTGCAGAGTTAGACAGAAGGGGTGCCCCTCCGGTGGCGCATACAGACCAGTGCCTTCTCATGGGTGCTGCTGTTGAGGATCCAGTGATGGTAGCTTTGTTGGTAATCACTTAATAATTGGTGTAACCCTCCTGGCAACTTAGAAGCCTAGACTCCACCAATTTTGCCTTAAAACAGTCCTCATTTCTCTGTCATACAATTGGTCCAGAAATAGTTGCTCTTTGTGCTGCTTCCTGAGTTTGGGAGCATAGTTCTGGTTACTGTGTGAACACCACTGGGTCTGCCTGTTGGTACAGCGACCTCTGGACTACTTGTAACAGTGGGTCCCAGGAATAAACTGGATAATTGGAATCTACAGTTAATTCAGAAGCTGGATGTCAGTTATGATTACTTTTCTTCCCATGAATTACAAATGTTCTTTATGGAATAGAAAAGCTTTAATTCATCTGAGCTTGATTTCCTTTTACTTCCCCAATTTTTCGTTTCAAATTCAGGCCTAGAAAGATGCGAATCATAGTTAGGAGCTGTCTGTTACATCTGATACCGGCAGCCTTTGTGTGTGTTTGTTCCTGAAGAGCACTTAGAGCTGTGCCATCTGTATTTATTTCCCTATGTAATGAAACAAATTTTAGAAAACACTATAATCCCGTACTTTGTCCTTTTTCACGTAACATGTCATTTGTGTCATTCTCCAGATAATATGTTGAATGTGTACTGTAATTGCACATTCTGGGGAGGGTCTGGAGAGGCAGTCAGTCGTGGTTTACAGTTATTTTAGAAACTGTATTGTATTTGATTGAGTAGATAAACAATGTAGTAACTTTATCTTTATTTTAGATATAGCATAGTTGTAGGTTTCTTAATGTTACTATTAAGTCTTTTATGTATTATCTCGATTTGTATTTTTGTGCCTAAAATGTTTTGTCTTCTTCTGAATTACATCTTTAGGATGAATTCCAAAAAATGGAATCAGTAGGTTCAAGGATATTAGTGCTTTTATGTGGTATGGGATATTTCATAATCAGTGTATCATATATCATATGATATATCATAGCAGTATATCATGAACATGGGAGAAGTGTCAATTTACTTTCATTAATTCTTAGAATTTCATCTGAATGTTCCTGTTTGAATTATATGCCTGCTACTCTTTAAAGAGTCATAGTGTTATTTGGTAATGCTTTTGGGGGACTTAATTTGTAGTTATTCTTTTCTCCCTCTTTCCAGGCCAAATTAAAGAAGCGGAAGCCTCGAGTAAAGAAAGAAAACAAAGCACCCAGGCTGAAAGATGAGCATGGAATTGAGTTTTCATCTCCTAGACACTCAGACAATCCATCAGAAGAGGGAGAAGTAAAGGTATGAGGCTGGATTTCAGTGGAGGTTTACTCCTTAAGCTTCATTCATTGTGCCAGTCAGCAGGAAAACCATGTGAGATGTGTTTGGTTTACATACAGAGTAGATAGAATGAAAATAGAATAGACATGTTTTTGCTTAACCTCTGAGAGAGAACTATTGTTGTTAATTTAAGTCAGCAATTGCAAATTCATAGATAACGAAGTAAATGAAGGGGAACCATGCAAATTTTAACAATTCATGGCAATTGACAGTCTTGTTGAGAAAGATAGGAAGTGGTGAGGACTGTGGTTGACAAGAGGGCGCTACACAGGTCAGTTCATTGTCAGGCCGAACAAAATTCATCCGGGGGTCAGGATTGGCCTAAGGCCTGCTGGTTTGTGACTTCTAGTCTAAGCAAAATGAAAAACAAATTGGTAGCATTCAGTGTATTGTTGTAGCAAGTGACAACTTTGTGGGATTTTATTTCATTTCTCTTTGTATTTTGAGACTAGCTCCAAGAGGATCAGCAGTAGGTGCAGAATAAACATGGATTTGAGTCATGCATACCTGAATTCATTACTAGCAAAGCAACCTCACCAATTACTAGCTGACAGTAAATAATCTCTTTGGTTCCTCAGTTTTTTCCATCTGTGAAATGGTAATGATAATGCCTATGTTGAGGGTTGCTATGAAAATTAAAGAGAAGATGTAAGTGAAGAGCTTAACTGGTTATTTCCAGAGCATTTAGAATTGTAGGAGTGAGTGCCTTAAGGCTGTATGCCTGAAAACAGCCTTCTAAGTGTAGGTGCACTGATGACTACTGGTGGCAGTGCATCTTTCTCCAGAAAGTACACAATTAAATGTAAAGCTTGTGGCAAAAGCTCATAGCCCTGTTTGTTTTTTAGGATGATGGTCTAGAAAAAAGTCCAATGAAAAAGAAACAGAAGAAGAAAGAAAACAAGGAGAACAAGGAGAAACAAATGAGTTCTAGGAAAGACAAAGAAGGGGACAAGGAAAGGAAGAAGTCAAAAGATAAGAAAGAGAAGGTATCCGTGTCATTCTACTTACTGAGATTCTCACAGCCTCTGGAATTCCCTTCTAGGATTTAAAAATAGAATGGGGTTTGAGGACTCTGTGATAATTATATTTTCATGGGTATATCTAAGAAGGAAGGATGGGTCTGTCAGAGGGATTCCTGTACCTCTTCCCACAGAGAGAGGGGAATGTGCAAGTTTGAGGAGTTCTTTAATATGCAAGGCCTCTGCTTGATCTTTTAGTGCATATTTCAGAGGGGATGTTTGAATGAAATAGGACAGGTGAGAGAAATCTGCATTTCCAGGTTGAAATGCATTTACTACTTGAAAAATGTTACCAGACTCATGGTAGAGGAGCATAATCCACAGATGAATTTGAGTATTTGAAGGGCTTAGGATTCAAACCAAATACTATCAGAAGATAAGCTTTTGGAATAGAAATAGATGAAAAGCCTTGATATCATATAATCTTCACTTGAGGGGTTTTATGAAGTTAATTCCAAACCACAGAATTCCATGTATGCTTTCTGGCTTCCTGTGAAATTATTTTGCAGTAAATCTGTAATCACTGTTAAAACATACAAATAACTGGTATAATCCCACCATCCAGTGATACCGTTCTCCAGAGGTTTCTTGATAAGTGCTGTTGGAACTTTTGTCTTATGCATAAAGTACAAATAAATATAAAATGAAAATCAAGTCAGACTGTTCAGGCAGTCCTTTTAGCTTTAATTCATCTGAGCTTGATTTCCTTTTACTTCCCCAATTTTTCGTTTCAAATTCAGGCCTAGAAAGATGCGAATCATAGTTAGGAGCTGTCTGTTACATCTGATACCGGCAGCCTTTGTGTGTGTTTGTTCCTGAAGAGCACTTAGAGCTGTGCCATCTGTATTTATTTCCCTATGTAATAAAACAAATTTTAGAAAACACTACAATCCCGTACTTTGTCCTTTTTCACGTAACATGTCATTTGTGTCATTCTCCAGATAATATGTTGAATGTGTACTGTAATTGCACATTCTGGGGAGGGTCTGGAGAGGCAGTCAGTCGTGGTTTACAGTTATTTTAGAAACTGTATTGTATTTGATTGAGTAGATAAACAATGTAGTAACTTTATCTTTATTTTAGATATAGCATAGTTGTAGGTTTCTTAATGTTACTATTAAGTCTTTTATGTATTATCTCGATTTGTATTTTTGTGCCTAAAATGTTTTGTCTTCTTCTGAATTACATCTTTAGGATGAATTCCAAAAAATGGAATCAGTAGGTTCAAGGATATTAGTGCTTTTATGTGGTATGGGATATTTCATAATCAGTGTATCATATATCATATGATATATCATAGCAGTATATCATGAACATGGGAGAAGTGTCAATTTACTTTCATTAATTCTTAGAATTTCATCTGAATGTTCCTGTTTGAATTATATGCCTGCTACTCTTTAAAGAGTCATAGTGTTATTTGGTAATGCTTTTGGGGGACTTAATTTGTAGTTATTCTTTTCTCCCTCTTTCCAGGCCAAATTAAAGAAGCGGAAGCCTCGAGTAAAGAAAGAAAACAAAGCACCCAGGCTGAAAGATGAGCATGGAATTGAGTTTTCATCTCCTAGACACTCAGACAATCCATCAGAAGAGGGAGAAGTAAAGGTATGAGGCTGGATTTCAGTGGAGGTTTACTCCTTAAGCTTCATTCATTGTGCCAGTCAGCAGGAAAACCATGTGAGATGTGTTTGGTTTACATACAGAGTAGATAGAATGAAAATAGAATAGACATGTTTTTGCTTAACCTCTGAGAGAGAACTATTGTTGTTAATTTAAGTCAGCAATTGCAAATTCATAGATAACGAAGTAAATGAAGGGGAACCATGCAAATTTTAACAATTCATGGCAATTGACAGTATTGTTGAGAAAGATAGGAAGTGGTGAGGACTGTGGTTGACAAGAGGGCGCTACACAGGTCAGTTCATTGTCAGGCCGAACAAAATTCATCCGGGGGTCAGGATTGGCCTAAGGCCTGCTGGTTTGTGACTTCTAGTCTAAGCAAAATGAAAAACAAATTGGTAGCATTCAGTGTATTGTTGTAGCAAGTGACAACTTTGTGGCATTTTATTTCATTTCTCTTTGTATTTTGAGACTAGCTCCAAGAGGATCAGCAGTAGGTGCAGAATAAACATGGATTTGAGTCATGCATACCTGAATTCATTACTAGCAAAGCAACCTCACCAATTACTAGCTCACAGTAAATAATCTCTTTGGTTCCTCAGTTTTTTCCATCTGTGAAATGGTAATGATAATGCCTATGTTGAGGGTTGCTATGAAAATTAAAGAGAAGATGTAAGTGAAGAGCTTAACTGGTTATTTCCAGAGCATTTAGAATTGTAGGAGTGAGTGCCTTAAGGCTGTATGCCTGAAAACAACCTTCGAAGTGTAGGTGCACTGATGACTACTGGTGGCAGTGCATCTTTCTCCAGAAAGTACACAATTAAATGTAAAGCTTGTGGCAAAAGCTCATAGCCCTGTTTGTTTTTTAGGATGATGGTCTAGAAAAAAGTCCAATGAAAAAGAAACAGAAGAAGAAAGAAAACAAGGAGAACAAGGAGAAACAAATGAGTTCTAGGAAAGACAAAGAAGGGGACAAGGAAAGGAAGAAGTCAAAAGATAAGAAAGAGAAGGTATCCGTGTCATTCTACTTACTGAGATTCTCACAGCCTCTGGAATTCCCTTCTAGGATTTAAAAATAGAATGGGGTTTGAGGACTCTGTGATAATTATATTTTCATGGGTATATCTAAGAAGGAAGGATGGGTCTGTCAGAGGGATTCCTGTACCTCTTCCCACAGAGAGAGGGGAATGTGCAAGTTTGAGGAGTTCTTTAATATGCAAGGCCTCTGCTTGATCTTTTAGTGCATATTTCAGAGGGGATGTTTGAATGAAATAGGACAGGTGAGAGAAATCTGCATTTCCAGGTTGAAATGCATTTACTACTTGAAAAATGTTACCAGACTCATGGTAGAGGAGCATAATCCACAGATGAATTTGAGTATTTGAAGGGCTTAGGATTCAAACCAAATACTATCAGAAGATAAGCTTTTGGAATAGAAATAGATGAAAAGCCTTGATATCATATAATCTTCGCTTGAGGGGTTTTATGAAGTTAATTCCAAACCACAGAATTCCATGTCTGCTTTCTGGCTTCCTGTGAAATTATTTTGCAGTAAATCTGTAATCACTGTTAAAACATACAAATAACTGGTATAATCCCACCATCCAGTGATACCGTTCTCCAGAGGTTTCTTGATAAGTGCTGTTGGAACTTTTGTCTTATGCATAAAGTACAAATAAATATAAAATGAAAATCAAGTCAGACTGTTCAGGCAGTCCTTTATTACCCCCTTAGCAGTGTATCACAAACAACTTTGCAAGCGAATGAATAAATGTTCAAATCATTTCTAGTGGATAAGGAAAATTCTGTTTAGTTACAGCATCTTCAAAGCAATTTCAAGCCTACATATTGAAATCACTTTTCACATTTTTAATGTTTTAAACTATCCTGTGACAGATACCTTTGCATTTGTGCTCCCACAGACGGACTCTTTTTTAAAAATGAAATACAGGCATACCTTGGAGATATTGTGAGTTTGGTTGTAAACCACTGCAATAAAGTAAATATTCCAGTAAAATAAGTCAAATGAATTTTTTTTGTCTCCCAGTGCATATGAAAATTCTGTTTACGCTATACTATAGTCTGTTAAGTGTGCAATAGCATTTTGTCTAAAAAAAGTGTACATACGTTACACTGAAAAAATGCTCACCATCCCTTGAACTTCAATGAGTCATAGAATCTTTCCACTCGCAGAGTCCTGAGGTTGCTGAGTGCTCAGGGCGATGGTCGCTGAAGGTTGGGGTGGCTGTGGCAGCTCCTTGAAGTAAGACAACAGTGAAGTTTGCCGCATGAATCGACTCTTCCTTTCACAAACTATCTCTCTAGCATGTGATGCTGTGTGATAGCATTTTACTCACAGTAGAATTTCTTTGAAAATTGGAAAGAAACCCTGAGGAAAGAAACCTCAGTCTATGCTACTAGTTTCTTAGCTAAGTTTATGTAATATTCTAAATCCTTTGCTGTCATTTCAACAGTCTTCACCAGGAGTAGATTCCATCTCAAGCCACTTCTTTACTCAGCCTTAAGAGCAGCTCCTCACCTGGTAAAGCCTTGTCAAGAGATTACAACAGTTCAGTCACATCTTCAGAATCCACTCTAGCTCTAGTTCTTGCTATTTCGACCACATCTGCAGTTGCATCCTCCACTGATGTCTTGAGGGTCATCCATGAGGGTTGGAATCAGCTTCTTCCAAACTCCTGTTCATGTTGGTATTTTGACCTCTTCCCATGAATTACAAATGTTCTTTATGGAATCTAGAATGGTGAGTCCTTTCCAGAAGGTTTTCAATTGACTTTGCCCAGATCATCAGAGGATCTGATGGCAGCTACAGCCTTACAAAATCTATTTCCAAATAACAAGACTTAAAAGTCAAAATTACCCTTTGAGTCATGGGCTGCAGAATGGATGTTGTGTTAGGTGATACGAAAATAACATTCTTCTCCTCATCCGTCTCTATCAGAGGTCTTGAGTGACCAGGTGCACTGTCAGTGAGCAGTAATCTTTTGAAAGGGGTCTTTTTCCTGAGTAGTAGATCTCAATAGTGGGTTTAAAATCTTATAAACCATGTTGTAAACAGAGGGCTGTCATCGAGGCTTTGTTATTCCATTTCTGGAGCACAGGCAGAGTAAGTAGATGCAGTATAATTATTAGGTGCCCTAGGATTTTCAGAATGGTAAATGAGCATTGGCTTCAACTTAAGTCACCTGCTGCATTAGCCACTAATAACGTCATCAGCCTGTCCTTTGAACCTTTGAAGCCAAGCATTGACTTCTCCTCTCTAGCTATGAAAGTCCTACATGCCATCTTCTTCCAAGAGAAGGCTATTTCCTCTACATTGAAAATCTGTTTTTCATGAATTTGTGAATTACCTCAGCTGGATAACTTACCGCCGCTTCTCTGTAGCGCTTGCTGCCTCCCCTTGCGCTTTGATGTCACGGAGATGGCTTCTTACCTCAAACCTCATGAACCGGTGTCTGTTAGCTTCCGACTGTGCTTCCGCAGCTGTTTCTCTCTCTGAGTTTTCATAGAATTGAAGAGAGTCAGGGCCTTGCTCTGGATTAGGCTTTGGCTTAAGGGAATATTATGGCTGGTTTGATCTTTTCTGTCCACACCACTCAAACTTTCTCCTGTGTCACCGATAAGGCTCTTTCATTTTCTGATAATTTGTGTGTACACTGGAGGAGCACTTTTTATTTCCTTCAAGAACTTTTCCTTTGTATTCACCAGTTGACTGTTTGGTGTGAGCAGCCTAGCTATTAGCATGCCTTCTTCTCTATGCTTAACCATTTCTAGCTTTTGATTTAAAATGAGTGATGTGTGACCCTTCCTTTCCCTTAAACCTTTTGAGGCCACTGCAGGGTTGTTAATTGGCCCAATTTCAATGTTGTTGTGTCTTACGGAATAGGGAGGCCCAAAGAGAAGGGAGAGAGGTAGGGAACAGCCAGTTGGTGGAGCAGTGAGAACACACACATGTTAAATTCACCACCTTGTATAGGCTTGGGGTATAGCACTCCTAAACAATTACAATACTAACATCAAAGATTACTGATCATAACACCATATAATAAATATAATAATAATGAAAAAGTTTTGAATACTGCAAGGTTTACCAAAATATGACAACCGTGAAGTGTGAGCAAATACCATTGGGAAAATGGCACCAGTAGACTTGCTCATAGCCAGGTTGCCACAAACCTTCAGTTTGTGAGAAACACAGTATTTGTGAAACGCTGTAAAGCAAAGCACAACAAAGCAAGGTATGCCTGTATTTCAAAGATAAAAGCGCAAAGAACAATTTAATGGACATCTGTTTATCTACCACTCA